AGAATGTTACTGTGGCCGTGCTCAGTACGCAGCTGTCTGGAGCGCGTAAAGAGCTCTGCGCCTCTCAGCTCTAAATAATCCCCGGAGAGTCCACATAGATAATGTAATATAAGTAGAACCAGAATCGTTTTCGGGCTCCCCCTGGGTGTGTAAACTGAGGGTTTCCAGGGGATCCGGTCATCCTTTAGGGTGAGCCGGGATCCCTTTAGCTCACCCGTAATTTGAACCCTGCGTATAGCACAAGTTGGTCGCGTGAGTTGCCGGATCCTAGCAGACAGTTGCCGGAACGGTTCTTTCAAAATAAGACAGTTCCCGGATCTTGTTCCGGCAAGATCCGGCTCAAATTAAGCCCTGGTTTTAGCCTTTAATGCCGTTTTATTTCTTTGTTTTTATTACTACTGTTTTATATTTAATATGTTGTGAAGCACTTTGTGGCTTTTGCCTGTGAAAGTGCTATACAAATAAAGATTACTTAAAGTGTGTTGAATATGGCATCTGCTTTGTTTTCTGCTTGGGGGAGTCACCAAGGGGTTGTCTCTCGCACCCCCCTGCCTCTCCTCCATGTCTGCCCTGGGGGGCACGCCCCACTAATTGAGAACCTCCTGCATTACTCTTTTGTGATTATTTCTAACATAACAATCTTAATTATTGTACCATTATTGTCATTAATGTGGGTGAACGCCTTTTGGCGCTGATCAGTGACATCATTCACATCCTGAAAGAGATGATTTTGTCTGGAGACACAATGGGTGAAAAGACCGAGCTTTCATATTTTCCCTGTCACCTTCTCTTCTCCCGAAAACTTTCCAGAACTCCTATTTTGGAAACGTGGTTTCTGTCTGTAGTCTTAAATAAAATAAAAAAAAGTTGTATTATTTTTTTTATTTTTATCCAGCATCAATAATAATCTAAAGTAGCATAAAACATTCTCTGTGCCTTAGCAAACAGCTCTTCTTCAAGCATATCTGTGGTTGTTTAGTATTCAAGACTGTACATGACGACATCCACAAAGCCTGTTTTCTTTTGTTTTTCTCTCTTTTTTTGGAAGCTGTATCAGATCTGGCTTCAACATGAGAGCAGGAGACAGCTGCAGAGAAAAAAAACCACTGGAATCGAGCTGAGAGCTGAGGTGATGAATGATGAACATGACAGCAGGGAGGATGAAGGGAGAGAAGGATCATGAAAACAGGAGTCTGTTGGAGGAAAAGTTAGTGGAAATAATGAATCGGCATCATAAAAAAGAACATTGAAGGAAAACGCTATCTCAAGTGGTGTTAGAAAACAAATAAAATCAATATCTGTCATGCCTGTCAACAGTGAAATTTGTAATTTGCAACAATTTATCTCCATAAATCCGTTTCCTTTTGCTGTAGCTCATTGAAAACAGGTCTTTAATTTTATTTTCACTTTTTAAAGTCTTTAGAGCAGACAGCAGAGGTGTAATCACTGTTTTTAGCAGTCACATCTTAAATTACTTATTATTAATCAATATAAATGTCTTTAATATGTTAATTTGGACCAACAAACTTATTTATCTTTGCAAACATTAAAAACATTCAATGAAAAGCTATAAATTATGCAAAAATCTCAATTAAAATACATACATTTTCAGCAAACTGATTTTGAATTGCAGGTAGTTGTCGGTGCTCTGGGATGTGATGGTGGTCAAGAACATTTAAATTAGTGTGAAACAGCACAAAGAAGGAGGGAACAATAAGCTGGTGCTCCAGTCAGAGATGGAGGAAGGGTTTTGACTAAAAGGAAGGATGTGTGTGGTTGAAAGCAGGACGTCATGGTATGGAAAAGACAGTGGTTGAGGAGAAGAGAAAGTGGGTGTGTTGAGGATTCTGTCCTTTTAGTATAAAAACTCCCCCTCTTGTGTGTGTTCCCACATCCTCTGTGCATGTGTGTGTATGTGTGTGTGTGCGTGTGTGTGTGTGTAAGGTTAAAAGACTAAAGGTGTGTGTGTCTGTGGCCTTTTATTGGAGGACTGATTATTCCTTAGGATGGATCAGCTGCTGGTAGTGACTTTTGTGGCGGTGGTGCTTTGTTTTGTGGGGAATGTGGATTCTTCAGCTTATGACAAGATAGTTTCTCACAGCCGCATTCGAGCCAAGAAAGAAGGGTAAGGAGATGACAAAATCACAGTTTTAACCTGTTTCCTTAAATTCAGGTTGAAGTATTTGCAAATAATTGAAAAGTACGGTATGTACTGTATTCATGGGAGGGAGTGAAGGTGTGAAATAATGCGTCTGAGAGAAGTGAAGCTATTTTTCAGGTTTTAAATTACTTAAGCACTAATTGTATAAAGAAGTTGTACAAACTTGCTTTCCATGAGATACGCTGTAAATAAAAGTTACAATAAGTTAATATTTTTATGTCACCATCCTTTTTTAGTTTTATACAACTAAGTCCATATCATTGCTGTTTCGCAACTTTCTTCTTTTCCACTTACTTGCATTTATTTAATATTCACAATTGTTTTTTTTTTTCTTTTTCACATCCTCCATCCTCACCAACAGACCCAATGTGTGTGCCCTGCAGCAGGTCCAGGGAACCAAGAAGAAGTACTTCAGCACATGCAGGAACTGGTACAAAAAATCCATCTGTGGCAAGCAAGCGTAAGTTTAAAATAGAAAATAAAAAAAGACTGACTAGATTAAACTTTTTTTATTTTCATTATGTGCCTTGAGCCAAGCCACAAACGTTGAAATAAAGTGTGAGCCACACCCAGTTTTGACAAATTTAGCAGATAAAGACATTAGACATAACAGATGTCTGTAGGAGCTGCTTCTGAGCATTAGAACCTCTCACAATCAGTTCAATATCTCCTTTGTCTTCATTACCTCCTCCCTTTGTCTCTAGACCTGCTCAATCATCTATAACTCTTTAGGAAACCCAAGAATCTTCTGCTTGTTGTTTGGTCATGTTTGATGTTTAACTTCTTCTAAAACAAGAGAACTGTCTTTGCAGGTTTTGGATGAAATGTTAAAAACAAATGTTCCTCAGATTTTGGTGCTCTGCACAAGCGTTAGGGACGCGAGTGTGCTTTTGGTATGCATGGATTTTAAGGCTGCTTGGATTTTACCTCAGCTGCAATTTGTTTTAGATTAGTTGTGATGTGGAGCTCGACGAATGAAGCGCTTAGCGTTCTGCTGGCAGAGATCCGTGATAACAATGGAATCAAAAAATGAGACTAAACATGAGTGCTTTATTCTTATGTCTGCATGTAGACTTTACTTGTTGTACTTTACTCCCACGGTCATCATCACACGCTGGTGAAATTACATGTGCACATTTGACCCATCCCTGTGAGGAGCAGTGAGGTGCAGCAGTGGCTGCACTCGGGAACAATTTGGTGGTTTAATGAGCATTTTTAATTATTACTGAACATGATATCATAGCATTGTGTATGTGTCCTTCCAGCATACACGCTGGACTTGATTCAGTATTGTTTTGGCCTTGCATGACAGAACTCACAAACCAAGTGAAAAATCAAAAATTGCAATTATGTTCACCAATCAGCTTCACGCATAAAAATCTGTGGTTATTCAAAAAGTCTAAAGCAAACTGGGTAAATCTGTTTTTGATTGTTTGAAGCTGCAGTTTTCTCTGCGAGCCACAGTAGAAGAAATCCTCCGTGCAGCTGTGTTTTTTTTTCTCAGCTGTTTTTGGTGTTAATGACTGTTTAGAGAACCACATCTGAGCCCAAGCAGGTGACTAATGTTGTCTGTTAAAAGACCAAAGCACAAAGCAAGGATCAGAATGGCAGGTCTTGATGGACTGAGTGTGTGTGTGTGTGGGGGGGGGGGGGGGGGGGGGGGGCATTACTGGTCGGTACAGAGCCATGACCTCAACCCAACTGAGCACTTCTGGAATGAACAGGACTGGTGATTGTGAGCCAACATCTGTCCCGGGCCTCTTAAATAACCAGAATAATAGGTGGGCATAAATTCCCAAAGAAACAAATGAAAATCTTTCCAGCAGTGTCAGTTCCTGTATAATGGTCAGGTTTGGCCAAATACCTATTCTAGCATCAATAATCCATCCAACTATGTGATTTTAGTCCTTGTTTTTTGCACGTGGGCTAAGTGATATTGACACAAATTTATACAAAAAACATTTTCCAAAATACTTTGATATTTTTGATTAAGGAGCCCAAACCATTACCCCTCCCCCGCCAGCTTTCAGGGTTGGCACAATACAAAGTCATGTAACATTCTCCTAATATCTCCCAACCCTCCACTCCAAAATCTAGTGTTGAATTTTTTTGCACCACTCCATCCACGATTATGTGATGTCATTCTTGCATGCAGCTCCTTGGCCATAAGAATCCACTCTATTACTCTGAGACCTCTGATGGTTTTCCAGAAATAAGATTTTGAAAACCTACTTATTGCCAAGTTGGCAAAAATGTTATTTGAGTTCAGTCTTGGCTGCATAGTGGAGCAATTGGCTGCGTATGTTGTTTTGTGGCAAGAAGGTCCTGGAGATGTTATTCTCTGGTTTTTCTCCCTCTGCCCATGTTAGATTAACTCTAAATTTACCTTTGGATGAACGTAAAGTTGCCTCAATATGGTCTAGAGCTTTTTGCACAATAGCTTTTGGGCGTAAGCATTGGCTCCTCTGGACTATAAACAAGATCAAATGGTTCTAAAAGGTTTATGAATGTCTTAAAATAAACTGTGATCTTGTGATAATGTTGTAATGAGTTTTCAAACTGAAAAATATGAAAGATCTTGTTATTTCACATTTCTCTCTTGTCTTACTCCAGCTTTCCACCCAATGCACAAGCATCATGTAATGTCCAGGAAGCGCAGTATGCAGCAACTAGTCACGGTTAAAACGGATGGGTGTGTCTCCACAGCAGGGAAGCGGTTCATCATGGATGTGTCCCAGTAGTGTAAAAAATATATAAAACCTTTTGGATACATTGCTACCATCTTTCTCCTTGCTTGTTGTCGCATGATCTGCTGAAGTTATCCATGGTCTTGCGATTCTCTGGTGATTTTGTAAGCTTGCAGGACCAACTGCCCCTTGCCGACTCAGGTCTGAAACGCTTTCGGTGTAAAGGGACGAGCTACTGAGGGAAATGTTTTCGTGCCGCTTTCGCATCCGGTGGAAAGCTTGAGTTACTTTCTGTAGAAGTACTCAGAGTAGCTCAAGTTCAAGACAAGCAGTTCCTTCACGTTTCAAACGGCAGTTGCAGCATGCAGGAAAAAGGAGACAAATGTTATTTTAAGGTCTAAAAAAGGTCTGAAAAACTGTGAACTTAATAAATTACAGTAAGTCTCTTTTCACATGAAAACGAAAACCGAAAAAAGGCCCAGACACAAAACAGGCTGCTCCTAACTGGGTACATAATAAAAAACCTGCTACAGTTTTTATCCAGTACCAGAACATCCCACCTAGTTTCCTGTGTGTGTGTGTGTGTGTGTGTGTGTGTGTGTGTGTGTGTGTGTGTGTGTGTGTGTGTGTGTGTGTGTGTGTGTGTGTGTGTGTGTGTGTGTGTGTGTGTGTGTGTGTGTGTGTGTGTGTGTGCGCGTCCCCCACATTTACACATCTGTTCATCTGGAAGTCATATTTAACCGATGCCTGGTTGCTGTGAGCTGGCTTGTTCTGTCTCTGGTCTTTTCTGCATCTATTATCCTGTCAGAGAACAAGCCAGAGAGAACCATGACTTCATACCACTCTGACTGCCATTGGTGGTGCAACAGCATTTATGTATTTAGCATTCTAAAATCATCTGTGTCAAATACCGAGAATGCTATATGAGCAGAACAGCTCTTGGAAAAGCAAAGAACAGTCATTTAAGTGGATTAGTAAGAGCTGAAGAAGGTGAGTAATGTTCCTTTTGTACGTTTGGTGCTTCTGCATAAAGCAAATCCTTCATCAGCTCTACGTTCATGGGAAAACAGACACAAAAGAGCAGTAAACCTCAAAGCCGAGAAATAAGTGCCGAGGAAACTGGTATAAACAAATCTCCTAAGTAATTATAATGACAGCTCCATCTGGAACCCCATAACGTGCTTCGGGATAAACCCAGTTAAATTGATTCAAGATCTCTGCATCTGTTCCTCCAGTGGATCGTTGTTGAGCATCCAGTGTTGGCGTTCTTCATCTCTTAAGATGTGCATGAACCCGGAGATCCCAGTGTCAAACTGCAAGAGAAAAATGACCAGTTTTGTCATTTTCTTCTGTGATTTACCGTTCACAGTATTGGCAGCGTACTCACACATTTTATCATTTATATTTTTGCTGTAATTCACAGTCAAGGTTCCTGTGAATAATCCAGTTTTCTGAAGAACGCCAGAGGGTCTTCTCAGCTTCCTGCTCGTATGTTAGTTATTTAATTTCCATATTTTCTAATGATCCATCCTTTGCATCCCAGAATTAAAAGACCAAGGGTGTTTCTCAATGTCAAGGCACCTTGCCTTGCGAGGCAAAGTCTTGCGAGGCCAGGCGCCTTGCTTACGAGGACATTGTCCTTCCTTGGTCAAAGAAAACGGTTAAATGGAACAGACTTGCATTACGTGACCGCAGCTTCCACGGTGGTCACGTAACGTCACGTGACACGGGAGTTAACATTATATTTTATATGGATTAGTTTCAATATAAATATATAATGAGCCTTTTACTTTTTAAATTGTATAGATATTTGTAAAATTAAATACTGTATATAAGCGAGTTACTACCTGCTAGCCACAGAAGTTGCAACTAATAAGCAACTAATCCTCCATCCATTTTCTGAACCCGCTTTGTCCACGTAGGGTCGGGGGGGGGGGGGGGGGGTCTGGTGTCTATCTTCAGCGGTCAACGGGCAATCAGGCGGGGTACACCCTGGACAGAGAGCCAGTCCATCACAGGGCAACACAGAGACACACAGGGCAAACAATCTCACACACACACACTCACACTTAAGGACAATTTAGACAGACCAATTAACCTAACAGTCATGTTTTTGGACTGTGGGAGGAAGCCGGAGTACCCAGAGAGATTCCACGCATGCACAGGGAGAACATGCAAACTCTATACAGAAAGATCCCAGGCCGGGAAGCGAACCCAGGACCTTCTTGCTGCAAGGCAACAGCTCTAACCACTGCGCCATTGCGCAGCCTAGCAACTCACCAACCATAGATAACTTCTTTGGATCTAAAAAAAAAAACGTTTTAAATTAGCTGACTTACTTTTAAACTTGAAAATTGTCCCCGAAGTAGCTACCGGCTTCTGATCCGCCGTCTTTTTGAAAATACCACAGTGTATTGTGGGTAATTTTTGACCAAGGCTAGGCTACAAGACACCTCAAGTGTATCCTTGCTCAGCTAGCTAAACGGCTAACAAACATTAGAACCAATTGGAACATGTCTTGGCGGCTCCCAATGATGTATCCCCTAGGCAACCGGGGCGGGGTCAAGACATCAAGGCAAGGTTCCTTGGCATTGAGAAACACCCCAAGTTGACTAAGAAGCCATTTTTACTAGTTATTTTTTAAATTGGTCAGTATAACATTTAGGCTAAACAGGAAAGAAGTGTTCTTCTTGCATTAGCCTCCCATAAAAAATAGATGTGGAAAAGCTTGGATTAAAAAAGCCTGTTAATTGCACTTTGCATAAAAAATATTTCATTCATAGACTCACCCATCTGGCTCACAACTGGGGAAGGCTGTTGTTGATTTAGCATCCAGGAGAGAGCAGAGCAAGTCTCTGTTAGTAGAAGCTAACTGTTAGCACTAGCAACCCCACAACACAGCAGAACTCCTTTAGGCTTGTGTTATTTCTGGAGATAAAGCATCGACATTGCAGAGCAAACAGTCAGTGGTAGAGTTGCATTGCTGTTAGCCAATCAGAGTCCAGATGACCGAATATCGGTAAACAAGTCTCCAAATCCTGCCGTCTTCTGCTCCCCTCTGCTGTGGCTCACTTTTAGCTCCTGAAACAGGACCGCCAGAGCTTTTTTTCTCACAGAGATTGACTCACAAGGTGTGCATTTAAACTAGAGACCACTGCAAATGTATTGAAAAAGGAAGTGAACTTGGTCTTTAAACCAGAGAAGTAGAAGCAGTGAAACATTGTTTTATTTTTATTTTTTTTGGACGTCTCAGTAGTGATAGGACTCATGACCAAGAAAAAGGGCATAAGGAACAGCAGACATCTCAGTCAGATTCCCATGTTAACAAGTGTGACATATCTATGCATGAAGGACGAAATATAAATCTTTGCTTTCCTCAAAAATTTGAGAGCTGTGTCCAAAAAAGCTTCTCCGTCTGTGGTGTTGAATAGATTTTTCTTTTTTGCTAACATTTATTTATTTTTGGTAGTTTTGCTCTCGTTGCATATGTTTCTGGACATTATATTAACTTCAAATTCAGATAATAGTCTTGAAAACAACAGTCCAAACTTCTACACGTGATCCATTAGAAGAGGCCTAGTCTCCTATGTTTTGATAGCTTCCTCTTAGATAATTTTACACTCTGGCATCTTTGCCTACAGTCTATTGCCTGAATATGGACTGAATCTGGCCACAAAGCCAAAGTATCACCTTGCTATGTTTAATGTTTTTCAACTTGCTTCGACCCAACCAGTCATCATTCTCTCTCTGTGTTCCAGAGGGTGTTTTTCTTTCTCTCAGCTGTCAGATATGCTTAGCTGATCAGCCAGATTTTTTTTTTTATTATTATTTTTGCTCTTGCAACTTGCATTACATTCATATGTTTGATCTGTTTTTATTTACAAATCTTTCAAAATGCTGAAAAATTGCAATGCACAACTCCATGACAGTGAGAACTAAAAATACTGTGAAATTCATATTTTTTTTACATCTTGGTTAAATTTTGATGTTGGCCTTTTTTGGGGTTGGCTTTAGGTTTTTTTTCTAATACTTGCAGTGCAAGAAAAACTCTACCAAAACTCACAACTTCAGACATGTGACCTGTAATATTTCACATTGACTTCCTATTAGGCCTGAAACATACTTGCTTTTTGACAACGCATAAGCGTGCTTAAAATGCATGCCTTGCGTAACTTGAAATGTTTTTTTTGCCAATCTCCCAGAATTATTGCAACACATTTGAACGAGTAACCAGAAGACGGCGTTCACAAAACCAGCAAGACACATTCACCTTGCTCACGCTATGTCTGGTGTAGAGGTCTCTCATACATCTACAGTACCGCTGCTGCCTTATTTTCTGACAGTGATCTCTAAACTAACCAGCTACTGATCTCTTCTATTGACGCCATGTTTGTTTTGGTTGTACCCCACAAACCCGGAACTCTATCCAGTCTGAGTAATCATACTTGTAGTGCAGCAGCAAGTATGTGATCAACACAGAGCTGAATGAGGCGGACTCATGTAACTTTAATGGCTTCTCTAGTAATTACAAAGGCCTCACCGGTGACACCTATTGCCCTATCATCATGTTCATTTCAGATCATACCTTTTAAGCCTCCTACTCCCAACCTAAGTTTCAGATCAGAAGAAGTTTTTTGGATAAGAGGCGAAATATCTTCAAGGAAAACAAGAAAATTCCAGCTGTTTTTAAATAAACTTACAAGATTATTATGTATGACTGAGGATCTACACACACATTTTGGGGGGTTAAAGCAGAAACCTGACACACTCATAGTTCTAACGTTTTTTTGTATATATATATGTGTTTTTTTTCCAGTCTAGTCGTATATGAATGTTGTCCGGGGTACATGAAGCTGGAGGGTATGAGAGGATGCCCTGCTGGTAAGGTTATATATGCAACACTCTGCAGTCTACTTTCAAAGTCGATTAAAAATGTAAATTAATTTTATACCACATGCTGCCCCTAGTGGCTCCCATCGACCATGTTTATGGAACGCTGGGGGTTCTGAAGGCTACGACCACACAGACATACTCCGACATGTCAAAACTGAGAGCGGAAATAGAAGGAGAAGGCTCCTTCACCTTGTTTGCACCAAGTAATGATGCATGGGAAGAGTTGGATCCAGTGAGTTAAAGAAAAGTGTTTAAATGTATACGTATTTGCAATCATAAGAAACCAATGGACTGCTCTCCCAAACATTGTGGTTTCCATAGACTCTACGATCTGGACTCGAGAGCAACGTAAACATTGAGCTGAAAAACTCGCTTCACTACCACATGGTGAACCACCGTCTGATGACTAAAGACATGAAGAATGACATGACGGTCACTTCCATGTACAACAACCTTGGGATTTACATCAACCATTATCCAAATGGGGTGGGTCAAAATGTGACTTTTACTCCAACAAGGTAGTGCTGTTAAATGCTGGTTTCTAAATGTCTTTTCCTCCATTTTAAGGTCTTGACAGTGAATTGTGCCAGGCTCATCCATGCTAACCAGGTGGCCACAAATGGGGTGGTACACGTCATAGATAGAGTGATCAGCTCTGTGGGCAACACCATCAGGGACTTCCTGGAAAATACAGACGATCTTTCGTCATTTGCTGTACATAAAATCCCATTACAACAAATGAGCTAATGCTGTTTCTGTTTATTTGGATGTTGCACATAAATAGCTTCTTCTTTCATTCTCAGGATGCAGCATTAGCCGCAGAAGTGATGGACAAGCTGGGTAAACCTGGTCACTATACTTTGTTTGCTCCGACTAACAGCGCCTTTGATAAACTGAAACCAGGATTCATGGAGAGCATCACAGAAAACCAGGAAGTCATTAAAGGTATGCAAGGTGTTCTGATTGGTGAAAAACATATTGATGTCACGGCTCTTAAAGAGGTCCGTCACTCATTTTTAATACATTTGCACTGGTCTACAGTAGGAATGAATGCCTTGTAAGTAGTACTCAAAAAAAGCTCAGGTGTGCCTGTTTCAGCATGGAGACCAGCCAGAGGAGAAAGTTGCTTCAGATAAGAGGATTTGGACTCTTGTTTCCTGATATTTGGACATCTCACCTCGGATTGGCTAATAGCAATGTAACTCTACCACTGACTCCGTTTGCTTTGTGACATCGATGTTTTATTGCCACAAATAACAAAGCCTGAAGGCATTCTGCCATGTGTTGGAGTTGCTAATGCTAAAGGTTAGCTTCTACTAGCCTCTGCTGTTTCCTGGATGCTAAACCAACAGCAGCCTTCCCCGTTGTGAGTCAAGATGGGTGAGTCCATAAATGTTGAGTGACAGTGTGACGTAGATCTGTCAGGCTTTTCTAATCCTAGAGTTTCACCATCGATTTTCTACCAGAAGCTAATGCAGGAGATAGGTGTAGAAGATGGTCAGCCTGCATGTGAAACTAACAGTGACCGATTATTTTCAAAATTAATAAGTAAATAATGTTTTCTCAGTGAAACAACTCTTTAATGGTTGTCTTCTATTTTATTAGCTTGGCAAGCTATCTTATATAAGCTACATATGGTCTAAGCACGACACATTGATCTCTGCCAGTTGTGAGGCAGAAACTATGGTTGTCTTTCAAATCGTCTCCACACACAACAGGACAGCCCCACGACCAATCGGTGCAACAAACAACATGCACATAAATAGGACGGGGATCCGTCAACAGGGCAGTTAGCCACGCACTGTAGAAGAAGAAGCAAATACATTATTTTTCGAAATAAACAATTTAAGTACATCTGTTCATGTCTCAAAGAAAAGCCAGAAGCTAAACTGTCCAAAGTTGACGCCGAGACAATTTCAAACAAGCACTATTCCTTAGCCGACACCATGTTTGTAGTTTTCTTCCATCACAGCTCTAGCGTTAAGCCCGCCCAACAAGCGTTGTGATTGGCAAGACACACAACTAACCAAGTCAGTGGTAGTCCTGCTGAAGCTACAATAGAGCGTGGCTAGAAGAACCCGCAGATTAAAATCTTTTGCTATTGATTTCTAGGCCATTTATCAGGGCTCCTGTGACATTTTACGCTCAGACAAAATTTTATATGCTTTATAGAGGTTCAAATATCTATTTCCAATTGTAAGTAAACCTAATTCTATCTCTCCTTTAAGATACAGTTGCTTAAATAATTATGTCTCTTGACAGAGTTGACAGGAAAATTGACTTAATGTTTTCACATAAAGCACAGCTAATCTAGCAGGCCAGGCAGCTCTCCTGCATCTTCACAGCTGCCCATTCCATAAATTATATTGCTGTTGCATATCAAAAGACTTAGGTCATCATTCACAACACACATGTGAAAACAAGCATGAGTGCCAAATCTAAATCCTATATCTAACAGCTGCAACAAAATAATCCCACAGACGTACGTTTTTTACTGATGATGTTTTGGATGGAGATGCTTGGCTAAATAACCATATCTTTATTCACTTGATAAATAGACATGCACACAATTTACACATATTTTTTATGTAAAAAACTGTTATGTGAGGGTCCTTTCCTCAACAGCTGGATAAATCATAGTTTAGTTTTACATCTGCTGCACCACAGCTGCTTACACTTCTTCTAAACACCCCCACAAGTGGCTCCTTTTACCAGGAGCTACTTTCAGATGTACCTTTAACCCTTTAATCAAACCTTTCCATTAAATGGAAGAAGTGTTTACAGAAGTGACTATGAACCACAAATTGTCAAATGTTTTTACACTGGATCTTGAGTGTAAAATGTGGCTGCATGTGCAATCTCTACTTTCTCAGCTCTGGTGAACAACCACCTGCTGAACAGTGTCCAGTGTGCTGAAGCAATCATGGCAGGAACAGTGTATGAGACTGCCGAGGGCAGCACCATAGAGATAGGCTGTGACGGTGACAGTTTAACTGTCAACGGCATCAAGATGGTGCTGAAGAAGGACATTGTGACCTCCAATGGTGTCGTTCACCTAATTGACCGAGTGATCATGCCTGACTCAGGTATAGTGCTTTTTGTTTTTCTTTTTGTTTTATTAACTTTTTGAGTCAACATTAAAGTGAATCTGTTATTTTTGTGACTCGCATCAGCCAAGGAAGTGTGGGAACTGATGGATGATTCACAAAGCACTTTCAGTGACTTGGTGTCAGAAATGGGTTTATCTGCTAGCTTGGGTTCAAAGACTGAGTACACCCTCCTGGCTCCTCTAAACGCTGCCTTCACAGGTAAGATTAAACAATTAAATAAAGAAAGCATTTATAGAAAAAGCTCTATTATGGTTGACCGTTGTTTCAGGAAGTAGCACGAGTAGGCAAGAATTCCTTTCCAAGCTTTATTCGAACTTGCATCACATGTAGCAATATCAGGCATCCATCTTGACTCCCTCTGCACTTCTCACTCTTCTACCTATGTTCTCCTCTCCTGTCCTATACTGACCCAAAGTGGAAGACACTGGAAGACTTCAATGACTTTTTATTGTGTAGAAATTCAATCCAACATCATTACACCCTTTGCAAATGTGAGTTTGTAACTTGTGTCCTTCTTAGAGGAGGTGATGTCACAAGATGAGACTCTGCTGAAACTCATTCTGGAAAACCACATGTTGAAGACGAAAATCACTCTGAACGAGCTTTACAGTGGACAGATGCTGGAAACACTCTCTGGCAAAATGCTGAGAGTCTTCATCTATCGCACCGTGAGAACTGCCTGTTTGTGTTGTTTGTGAGAGTCAGTTAAAATATAGATTAACCTACAATTAAAGCCAAAAGACACCAAGCAGCATCTTCCACGTGATAAATCTGATATCAAATGATAGGATCTTTGTCGACGTTATTTTTGTTGTCTTTCAGCTATAATCAAATGCATTAAAGCATCTAATTAGTTCAGCTGTTGGCAGAAGAAGTGGGAGTCTGGTAGTGTGGGTTAGCTATTACAATCAGATGGGATTAATTTCTTCACACAAACATCATAATGTTTAGACTGATTGATTGGGATCAAAGAGTTTTGTGTGGCTGTCCTTCCCCATGAAATGATTTCCAGATTTGAGCAGTGATTGTAAGACCTGTAACTTTACTCTCTTGGGCATTCTTTATGATTTAAGGCCGTGTGCATAGAAAATGCATGCATGGTGAGGGGCAGTAAGGAGGGAAGCAATGGAGCCCTTCATCTCATGAGATCACTGATCCAACCGGCTGACAAAACTATGTTCGAGCTCCTGGTTGATGATGGACGCTTCAAGTAAGAACTAAATGTTAATTTATTGCTTCGTGTTTTTGAATTTTATTTTTTTTTTAGATTTTAACAAAGGACATATTCAAAACTTACAGTTGGCATATGTTTGTGCATTCTCTACTGCCTCTAGAAACAATCAACATGGGGAAAAAAATCTGAAACCCCGTTTTCTGTGAGTGTTTGGTTTTAGGAATTATTTTCCTGAAACAGGCAGTTTCAAAAAGTCCCTGTTTGTAATGTCACAAATGGGGAAATTAGCATAGCACCATCTTTCTCTTGGAAGAGAGAGCTCCTGCTGGAGGAGCAGCTCTACTATAGGCCCCTCCTGGATGTCGGTGCTCCTCAGCTAATAGCAGACTGAGTGGGGAATGGGTGGATGTGGCCAGCAACAGCTTTTGTTCTTCAAGCTGGTATAGCAAATCTGCAAATAAGCTAGATTTTGAAGGCAAACACAGTCACGGAACACTCACCCCTCCTCTTGGGTATCTTCACTGATTCCACGTCCACCAGAACTGGAAACTCACATTGCCAGATGAAACAAGAGAGCATTAAGTACCAGTCATCATGTTTTTAGGTCCAAACGTCTTTTGTTGTCTACGATTTCAAATTATATTTTTCTTTTTGGGACTCTGGTAGTTTGTCCTAAAGTTGAAATGGTAGCATTCGGATGTTTTTCCTTCTATGATATTATTGAGCGAAGAACCTTTCACGTCAGTGGTATTCTGTTGCTTAATATGCGAGTGTGTCATGAATGGAGGACCTAGGGAAGTGTGGCGGTTTGGCAAAATCAACAACCAGATGGTCCAATAGTTGCTTTTTGTCCAAGCCATTTTATTGGCGGGATTTTTAGACAAATGTGAGAGAACCACTTTATTTTTTTTTTCGTGTTTTTGTTTTTATCTCCACAATAAGTATAACTATATTATATTAGAGCATTGCTAAGAGGCATGAAAAAATATCTTTTAAGCTAAATTGTTTTCCAAATTTGCTATAACAGCTTTAAAGTGACCTGAAATGGCTCATTCTGGAAGGTACTGAAAAGTCAAGAATAAAACTACTGAGAATGCTTTATGTCAGATGGATTTAATGCAAGAAACTTCAAAAACATGTTTATGATAGACCACGGAATGATTACTTATAAAAAAGTAAAAAATATATCTCCTCTAATGTGTTTTATCTCTTTTTTGTAATGTTGAAATATATAAAAAGTAGAATCATCCTGTTACAAGCTAAAGCCTAAAAACATTAATATCTATGTATGAAACCAGTCACACTAGCAACAATAATAATACTAGCAGTATTTTGTTGTTCAGCATTGTTTCACGTGCTTTTATAGATTATTCAATCAAAGAATGCAAATGTTTAAAAATGTATCTTATAAATTTCTCTTTTTTTATGCCTCATTATTGTATGCTTTTTTTTACTATTTCTGATTTCATTAACAATGAGGTTTTTTCTTGTTGTTTGATTAGCTCTTTTTTAATCGATGTAGGGTTTTCTTGTCGCTGATGGAAACAGCAGGTCTGGATGAGCTGCTAAAGCAGAAAGGCTCCTACACCGTCTTTGCACCAACTGATGATGCCTTTGAGGCCCTTACCAAAAAGGACATAGCTTTGCTCAAAGGTACGCACGTCACAAATCTGTCATCAAAGGATAATTCTAGGAATTAAACAGAGATAAAATGTATTATTCTGCTTAATCTGAATCATTATAATTTCCTCCGATAGGTGATCTGAATGCTTTGAGAACTATTCTTCTCTACCACTTCAGTGACTGGATCCTCATCAATGGAGGATTAGAGCGAGGAGTTACCAATCTGCTCACATCCCTGCAAGGCAACAACCTGCAAGTTAAATCTGTACGACAGTCTATGTGTCTACTTATCTATGTACTTGAGACAGTGACTGTTGCATTTTCTACCATTTAGATGCACAAGAACTAAATCAACTACAAGTGATATAGTCAGTTTAACAGGGATCAGAAAGGAAAGCAGAAACTCAAAAAGGTTTACTAAAGAAACAGTGGAAATGTGGAAAAATTGGGCTCATCTGTCATCCAAACTCCAACTGCAAAATGTAACTTAATGTGAAAATGTAAATGAGTTGTAAATGAGAAAAAAACTGAAAAAGAGGAAGAATTATTCAAAACTCATCGAATAAATGGACAGCTAATATTTTCCACAACATATAGTTCTTTAAAGTTGCATTTTTTTGATAATTTTTTCTTAGTTTGCACCTAAACAAACATTTTTAAACAGAATTGTTTGAATTTCTTTTTTCCTGAATACCAATTTCACAAGAAGTCCTAATTAATGGGTACACATTAAATGTGCATAAAGTGTAGACCAGGCATGTCTAAAGTGCGGCCCGGGGGCCTTTTCTGGCCCTTCGAGTGATTTTGTACGACCTCCACTTGAATTTCTAAAAGGACGAATTTTGTCTCTCCAAACCAAAAGGATGTTGATTTAGATCGCCACTTTCTAACTAGTTTATGTTCAGATTTGTACTTATAAGCCTATTTTGGATTTATTTGAAAGAGTACAAATTTAAGAAATTGTACAGAATACTGTTTGCATTTTTTATTTTTTAAATAAGAAAATCACATTCTTATAGCCCCCGTTGGACTTCAAACATGAGATTTTGGCCCTCATCTTCAAAAGTTTGGACACCCCTGGTGTAGACAGTCATGATTAAAACTTAATAAATATCAACTTGCAGCTAGATTTTGTGTGCAGAACACTTTGATGCCTGTCTTTTAAAGCATTCAATAGAACAGAAAATGTTGGATTATTCTCACTGTAACATTCGCATCAAAAAGCTGTGTGTTACTTTACTTCAAAGCTGGAGGTTGTGAAGCGATCTCCGGAGAGCAGCCAACATCAATAAAACCTGACTTCCTGTCCTTACACCCACTTTTGGCATTTCCTTCTACTTCTATATCCCACTCTGAGTGTCTCAACCTTGTGTTTGTCTTTTTCTGCTTTGCTTTTCATTCAAGTTTAACCAAAAGCATTTAGGACATTACTGTTGGAAAAATGAATGAATAAACAGAAGAGTTGTATTTAAGTCTTTCACAAGGAAAACTAAATCCATGCACTGATAGGTGATTGTCTTCTTCAGCTGAACGCGCATTTTGTACATTAATGTGTTTAAAGCCATCTGATTAGGACTTCCTATCACATTGGTGTGTGGCAAAAAATATATAATAAAATTAAACCTGATCTGTTTTTAAAATGCCTATTTAGATGTCCTGAAGAGTGTAAAATCTTCATGTTTTGGTGGGAAAAATAAATGAATGCAGCTTTAAAGAATAAAATATTTTTTTCTAATCTATTTTAATGAGATTTTTTTTTCCAACAGGTAAACAATTCCATCTACATAAACTCAGTAGAGGTGCCAGAAGGTGATCGGATGGCCACAAACGGTGTGGTTCATGTTGTGAAGAATGTCCTGTATCCTGCTGGTGAGATCACCTCACACTCTAATTTATTGTTTATTACGCTCTTATAATAATTAGTAATGGCTATGCTACATATTTTAATTGTAGAGCTTCCTGTGGGCCGGCAGGACCTGTTGGCAGTGCTGACTAAACTCATTAAGTACATCCAGATAAAGGTACAGGAAGGGAAAATGTAAGCGTGTGATTGTGTTAGGATGATATTTAATCATTTTTTTCTTCCTCTTTAGTTTGTTTCTGGATATTCATATGTTGAAATTCCACTCTCTTTTTTTAGTAAGTATGATTTTCTATTAACACTGATGTAAGAAAAATAATAATAAAATTACCAGCAAACTAACTGGAGATGATTTTATTATTTGACAGAAAAAACCATCACAACCACCATTGTTGAAGGTAAGTCCTATAACTGACTGAACTCCTTAAATTGTGTTTATATTTATAGAAGTAGTTAGGGTTAGGTTAATGCATGTAAAAATGAATGAATGACTGCACTGTGACATGGTTTGTGTCATGCACAGTGTGCAATGGATTGAGTACAAGCTAGCAGCGTATCAGAATGTTAGAACCAACTGCAGTCACATTTACTTTGTCGTACAACTTATCTGGATTTCTCTTTGGGTTGATGTTAACGAAGATAAGCACAAGTGAAATAGGAGTAACAAGGATAGGTTTTAAATGTAACGAGTACAAGGGGAGACTGATAGATACTGAAAATGTCTACTTAAGTAAAGTGACAAAATATTTGTACTTTGTTACTGGACATTTTTGACAGAGACCCTCCTATTTTAGAAAGATCTGCATCATACAACAAAGCGTTCTAAATAAACCCGATAGATTCCCATCATCCAGCCAACTACAGTAAAAACGATCTTGTGTCGTTTGTTCAGATGGGCTAAGCATGATTTGACATAAAAGGCAAATGAGGAAGAATAAAGTCTTTAACCCTTTACAGGGCCAACATCTAAATTTAGACGCTTCCAGTCACAAATGATGTTGGTTTGCCGTTTCACAAACTCTTAGAATTACGGAATTTAACCCAAACAATCATCAGAGATCAAGCTAGTCACGGATTGCGCCATGGCGCCATTCCACCAATCAGTGCGGGGCTATAATGTGCCGAATACTGGTGCGTCTGCAGAACCAGAAAACTGCTTGGTCTCCTCTCGTGTTTACGGTCAGATCTCTAAAACTAACAATGCTAGGTTTATGAAACTCACATCACAAGGTTGACTAGTTGTGCTAAATAAGGATATATGTGTTGTAAATGTTACACTCAATTAAGTTGGTGAAATCTTAGCATGAAAATCAAATCTGCCTTATTTGGACATACGCCTTGAACAAGTAAAAGAAATTATGAATATTTTTTGGTAAAATATGTTGTTTTTTTAGACATAATCTTAATAATGATGGTACCAGTAATAATAAATATGATATTGGATATATTTGCAGTTTTAAACTAAGATTTCTCTGGAAAATGGAGGAGGACAGTTGTTGCACCAACCAATCTCACCATTAGTGATGAACAGGAGGAAGATGACATTGAGGCAGATCCTCAAATATAAAAATTTTAAAAATCTATATTTGATCAGAAATTTTACCTATTGTTCAATAACTTTTCAAAAATATTCCACAATAATCTGTTTTCATAAAATATACTATATTGTTTATTAGTTGTGATATAGTCTGTAATATTGATAATGATATTATAATGTTCTAAAATCAGCTAGTGTCTTATAATTATCAATATTATTCAAAAAAATGTCCATTTAACTTGTTCATGTTATTTTATTTTGGGATTTCTTTAACCAGAGCAGGGCCAACGCCTATTTGATCACTTGATTTTCTCTGATTTTCTGTATGAACATGAATATTTTTGAAAATTGTAGCAGAAATACACTTACATACAACAATAACAGCCTGGGGTTGGCCCTATAAAGGGTTAAAGGTAATTTAAGTCAAAGATAAAACTCTGGAACTGCAGTGGTTTCTTTTTTAGAAGAATCTGATGGATAGAAATCCAATTATTACTCTCAATTAAAAGTATCTCATACTGTCTTCAGCCTCTCACACATGAGGTGGATTCTTCAGTTGTGTTACGTCCAGATCATGCAGATTCTTGCAGCAGTATACTATAAACGCACAAAGGAATGCAGACACATAAAGAATAAATTACCTTTTTTATGACTTCATTTGAAATGTAATTACTAATCTTGGCCTCTTCTCAAAATACTCCTGGCCATAGAATGAAGAGTTGTTATTAAAACATCTCTGTTTTGCTGTAATTTTTTTAAAGGCCCATACAATAGCAAAAATACATGTAATCAATCCAATACATGCAGTTCTCTTGGGTGTTTGAGCCCTTAACCAAAATTATTAAATTTTCATGCTTTGTTTTTACTTTCTGGTGTAATCTGAGCTCTGGTTTTATTCTTAATGTTACAGAAAGTTAGAGGTTATCTATTTATGCACCAATAACTTATTTTACACTTTTCAATTTTAGGACAAGTGGTTAACCTAATATTTTTCTCCATTTTAAGTCCCTCAGTCTACAAAAATGATCAGAGTCGTTGAACAACCATCCGTTACGACGTTTACTAAGATTGTTGAGGGGCAGCCAACCATAACCAAGGTAACAGAAGTCATTGAAACAGAACCATCCGTGTCAAGGGTGGTTGTGGCGGGCGAGTCTACAAGAACCAAAGTGACTCGTGTCATTGAGGGTCAGCCTTCCCCCAAAAAAGTAACCAGAGTCATCGATCGGAAACCGACCATCACCAAAGTTACTCGAGTTATTAGTGGTGAGCTAAAATCACTTTAGTAAAACCAATACACCACAGATATTATTGATTAAAAAATGTTTTCACCTGATGTCTTTAGGGGCAAGTACAGACGGTGAGAGAGAGATGAGCACAGAAACAGGTGAGATTCTTTAAAATATGCATATCTTTGAAGCGTAAGATGATTGCATGTTTAAAAATGTACAATTAGGACTTGTAATACAAACCTTTGTGTCTACTATAGACGAGGGTAGGCTTTTAGCTGTAAAAATAAAATCTTTTGTCTCAAAATTTATGGGGGGGGGGGGGGGGGTTACTGTAAAAATAAAATGTTTTGTCTCAAAATGTGTGTGATGTCTAATGTTTGTCTCAGAGAAAAGTGGCCACTCTCATACATTCAGAGTGTAATTCATTGTGTTCCATTTAGACAATTGTGTTTTCAGTTTTGCTCTTCAGTGTTCATTCCATGCTTGGTAGTGTTCACCCAAAGGCTACAGTACTTGTGTTTAAGCAATGAATGGTATGTGTGTGTCATGTGAAAATGTGGCTGTGTTTACCAAATGAAAACACGTGTTCCATTTTGGGAAAATATTACGATATGTGATGGCAGGGTTTCGTTGCAAAGGGAAGCCACGGTTTAGGAATTTGTGTGTTATGTTTGGGGGTTTGTGTGTGCAGTTTTGAAAGAAACGTACAGTTTTGAAAACACGTTTTAGCAATCGAAAAAAACTGTAATGCAACACAAGTCAAGTTAGCATTCAAGCTAGGTTGGTGTGCTAAACTGGGCATCTGCTTTTACAGTGCATGTTGGGAACTGAGGCACATTCTGACTGGCAGTTAAGCTACATACACTAAATTTATGTCCCTCTTTTAGTGTCTTGAAATAAGTATTGGACATGTATGCTTTGTCAGGGGCCGTGTGTCAATCAGGACAATTTTAAAGTCACCAAATGTCTTTCAAATTTGTTTTCTTCTGTCCATCTGAAGGTGTATCCAAATCCACGGTGATAGAACCTCAGATCATTAAGGGTAAGATGTTTGCACTAGAATCCACACTTAATAGGTTCTTTTAACTGATTTCTGTAACACTTTTCTAGTTTTTATTAAAAAGTGGTGATTATCTTGCAAGAAAAATGAAGGGATTTTTATTTAAAGCCTCTTTTCCACTGAACGGGAAAACGTCAACAAAAAAAAAAACAGCTGTGAAACAAACTTCACGGCAATAAGCCATCGTTAGTGTGGTTGGGTCCCTTTCTACAAGCAGGAAAGTGGAATGTCTTCGATGCCTCCCAGAAGAGAAGGGACGCCATCATTTGGTTTCCAGTCTATTTTCTACAAACTACGCTTCCAAAACACGTCAAACTCCACGGGTTATGTCGGGCCAGACAGGAAGTCAAACACGACATCAGTCTAAAACATCAAGGCACTTTCCAAATAAAAAGTGTGAAACCCCTAGCTGATGTAAACTGAACAGAAAATTAACAACAGACCTTTTTGGATATATGCAGCAGTCTTTATCCTTGCTTGTTATTGTGTAGACCTCTGAAATCACAAGTGTTGTTGCAACTCTCGCCATTTTGTGACCAATGGCTTGGAATGCTTTTGCTGCCGTTTCGTGTCTGAAAAGCTTCTTTTTGGGAGGGAGCTCTTGAGTAAAACACTGCTTTTATGATACGCACTGCTTTCACATCTGGTGGAAATTAGGCTTAAAACTGTAGTCCAAGAACATGAACAGTGGATTAGGGATTCAAGAATAAATTATTTGGTAATACTTTAAAATAATGCCTAATTTACACTTCTCGTCAGCTCCGCGAGGGAGAGACGCACACGCATTGACAGAGATATTTTGCTTTCTGATTTTTCCGTCAACTGGGGATTGTTGCAAAACAATTCCCCACCAGGACAACAGAGGGCGTAGCGCCATTCTGAGGTATCCTGCCACGATTACAGTCATATATCCAGTCCACGATAGTGTAATCACTATTGCGTTTACATTGTTTTAATGTATTTCAGAGACTTTTTTTTAACACTGACAAATTTGTCCCTCGTTCCTCTTCACTGCGATCAGCACCTCCAAACCCACGTTTCTCGTCTTTTCCGTCCACGAATAAAATGCCTGCTGCTTATCTTTGTACTCCTTCAGTCACAGATGAATAAATGGTCATATTTTCAGACTTTTCCCTTGACTCGTTCTTCAATCTGTTCCATGTCTGCGGCTAAATATCTCTTTATTTGTTGAAGCAGCAAAGACGGTGCTGATGACAAATGAAAACAGAAAGCAGCATCCTGACCAATCACAAACTTGTGGTGTCTGTCTCTTTTGATGGATAGTTAAAATATGGAGCATCAGCCTCCGCAAGCCTGTCTGAGAGCCCTTGCGCTGATGCAAAATGGCGCTGCGTGTCTCCGTACCGACGCAGATGGAGAAGTATAAATTAGGCTTAAGGGTCCCTTCATGAACTTTACTTGGTTAGGGTTAGGGTTAATGTTACCAATGATTTTTGTTTCATTCAGGACCAGATTTCTCCAAGTTCACCAACTTCCGAGACAACCCAGCCCTGGTCAATGAGGAATCAGAGAGAATTACCAAACTCATTCAAGGTGAAAAAGCAAAAGATCTGCACAGATATAGTGATGCATCTGCCGTGACTGACAATGTTCTTTTTCTTTGAAAGCGGGACGCGGTGGATTTGCTGCTGCCAATAGAGTGCCAGGTAAGGAAATGATTTGCTGTACGTCGTGTTTATCATTTAGCATAAACTAGAACAAAAGTTTTGTTTGTTTCATTTTGAATCCTTTGACAAGCTCTGTTGGGGTACTAATTTACTGTCCCTGAATGAACACTGAGTCATCGTTTACAGCTGGGATGAGAAGAGCAAGGCTGGTCAGGCGTCATCACAAGCCAACGGAGTGAAACCAAGAGATGGAAAACACGTGTGAACCCGTCGCAGAACCTGACTGCATCTCCGGTGCTCCTGGTTGAGTGCTGGTGGTTTTAAAAGTTGTGGACTAAAAGAGATTGAATAAAACCATCTTGTTATTTCTTTGTCTTTACTTCATCTAAGCCATAGTGTGTGTGAAAAGCATGGAGTCTTATGAAGTTTTAATGGCATTAAAATACCTTCATGTCAGTAATGTGCAAGCTAGAAAAGTATTTTGTGGTCAGATAAACTGGGGTGAAAATTGATTTATTTTTAAAATGAGTCAATTTGGGAAAAGACTAACTCAGAAAGACATGTAAACACTAGATTCATCTGGATGATTGGAACAGAACATGTTCTAAATGCCTCTAAATTATCACATGCTAATGAAAGCTAAAACGACACGTTGTTTTGTTGGTGACGGCTTTAGCTATTTGAAACTGTTTTGTTATTTGCCTTTGCATGTCTGATTCATATATGTCTAATGCAACTTAACAATGAGGTTCAATAAAGGTGCTAAATAAATGTGTAAATGTGTTACATTTAATGAGTCCGTTCATGCTTCCTTTTTATTTATGTCTCGTTTAGCTTTTTCCTTCATGCATTCGTTGCCTTTCTTACTGTTGCTTCAGATAGTGTTTGCCAATCTTTATTCTTGGGAAACGCCGTCCTATGAGTTTCAGTTTTGACTTTTCTCCAACACATCTGACTCAAATAAGAAAATTACCTCCACAGCAGGTCATCGAGTTAAGCAGGAAAGAAAAACACACACACACACACACTAAGAATTGGGGGAAAAGAAAGCACGGAAACACAGATAAAAGCATTGCTTTTTGTCTTTTGATGAGAGGCAACAAATAAAAAAATAAACTGAATAGAAAAAATATATAAATGTTAAGATTTTTCTTAATTTGAATCAAATCATGTTCAGGAAGGTGATGTCATATCCACAATATTCTATTAGTGGGCACATGTGTAAACATAGTTAGCATATTTTTTGTGCTGCCATGTGGGTCTCCCATTCCAGCTTCACTGGCTGCCAGTCGACTTCAGGGTTCATTTCAAGATCCTGGTTCTGGTCTATAGGGCCTTACATGGACAAGCACCATCATACATTGGTGATCGTCTCAGCCCCCACACCCCCAGCAGGTCCCTGAGGTCCAGTGATCAAAGCCTACTGGTTGTTCCGCTCACCAGGCTAAAGACCAAAGGTGACCGATAATTTGCTGCTGTGGCCCCCAGACTCTGGAACTCTCTCCCCCTGAGCCTGAGATCAGTGGACTCGGTGTTCTCCTTTAAAAAGCAGCTGAAAAACTTTAGTTCAGGCTGGCTTTTGCGTGACCTTCAGTTAATTCTTCCTCACTATCTTCTCCTCATGCTGCTGTTTCTACCAAATCCGCCTTTCTTGGAATCTCTTGATTACCTTTTCTAATTCAGTTTTGTCTTCCTTCACATTTTTCCATCACATCTAATTTTATTCCCTTTTTTCCCAATTTTTACTACGATATAAGTTTTTTTTTATCATTTTTATTTTTTGCATTTGTGAAGCACCTTGTGATTTTTAACTTGAGAGGCACTTTATAAATCTTCTTCTTTTTCTTAAAACACTCCTAACAGGAAAAAACATATCCATCCATTTTCTGTTGGAGTTTGGCTTTAGGAGTTAAATATCCAAAGCAAGCTGGTTCAAGTCCTCATTTGTGATGTCAAAAACCGGGAATTTAGAATAGAACCATTGTCATGGTCAGTGTCTGTGTCTCTTTGTGTTCCTCATGTGTACCCTAGTCTTCAGCTCTCCAGATACATCTCTCAGGTCCTGTGTTCCTTTAGTCTTCTCCAGTCACCCCTCTGCAGTGTTTATAGTTTCAGCTTTTCATTTTATTAGTCTTTTTAGTATGTTTTGTCCCACCGGTCTTTGTAGTTTTCCTTCCCTTTAGAATATTAGTTATTTGGTTGCTTTTTCTTGTTTTTAGGTTTTACTCTTAGGTCATGTGAGTTCCCTCCCTGATTAAGTACTGCTTTCACCTGGTCCTCTCCTCACACACCTGCAGCTCATCTGCCTCCCATTATGCCCCAGTTTATTTAAGCCCTGTCTTGTCGATCCATTGTTGTTTGTCTGCGTTGTTTTTGGTGCTCTGTGTGAGCTTTGCGTCTTGTCTCAGCTTTTGTGCTCCATGTGAGCTTTCGGTGTCCTGGATCTCAGGACTTTTGGATTTTTGGCTCGCTGCCTTTTGGATTTACTTTTGTTCATCCTGCAATAAAAGGATTTTTACTTTATACCTACTCCTGTCTCATGTCATCTGGGTAATCTGCATTTTGGGTTCTAACCATCCCCGCAACGTGACAACCATCTCTCAAATGCAACAGACAGCTGCTGCTACTCTGAGCTCCTCCCAGATATCTGAGCTTCTCAGCTAATAGCAGCCTGAGTGGGGGAAGGGTGGGCGTGGCCAACAGCTTGTTCCATTAAAGTAACAGAGCCTTCAAATGACTCCTTGTGGGAGGTACTGAAACTGCCAAGAATCAAATTGCTGAAATTGAAATATGTCATGGGATTTTGTGCAATGAACTTCATAAACATGACTATAAAACTATCATAACTAAGGGAGAAAAGGTCATTATGTCTCCTTTAATGTGCATGTGGGGTCTTTTTTTCTTGTATTTTCCACTGAACAAAACCAAAACGTCAAATGTCTCTCAATAAAAAAAATTCAAGAAGACACTGAACAGTGGGAGTGGTTGTAGTTATTTTCCGATTTTAATTAAAAAACCACAAATGTCATTGCTCCCCAGAGTAAATAGTTTTGCCCATTTTCATAAGTCATGACAGATGTCTGAATTATTTAGGCAGAAATTTTTATGTGACAATAAAAAATTGCAGTCTTGATAAAATATTCACAAATAAAAAAGATTTATCAAACATTACAGCCATGTGCAAATATTAGAAACCGTTCTTTACAAGTGTTTTCTTTTGTAAAATATTGTGCCTCAACTGTTGAATGTGGAAAACGTTTGTTGTGCAGCATGAAGGTCAAACAACCAAAGTCAGAAAGACATATAATGCAACTATAGACTTAGCATTTTGATGAACAGCTTTTGACATGAATACGCATATTTTTCTAAATTCTTTCAATGGAAAATTGCAATATTACCCCCTCCCAGGGTTTATCCAAAGACTAGGGACATTCTTTCATTTCATTCTTTTGAGTGATGCCAGACAGCTCCACTTTTTGTGCTTCGACTCCAAATTAAAACCAGCCAACCATAGAAACAGATCGTAAATTTATGGAGCCTGGGGAGGGGGTCTTCACGGAGACAAGAGTAGGGTCCCATCCAGATTTTACTTTACAATTAATAAGCTGTGACGAAAAATGCTAAACAACTCCAAATGTCACACTTCTGGTATGCAGCGTGGGTTGATTTTATGTTAAATGCAAAACATAAGGAAATGGGCTACATGGTGGCGCAGTTGTTAGCACTGTTGCCTCGCAGCACGAAGGTTGCTGGTTCGTAACTCGGCTGTGACCGTTCTGCGTGGAGTTGCATGTTCTCCCCATGCATGCGTGGGTTTCCTCCGGGTACTCTGGCTTCCCCCACACATCACATGTCCCATAGGTTAAATGTTGTACTTTGCTTTGGATAAAAGCGTCTGCCAAATAAATAAACATAAACAAATGACAGCACAACAAAGCGTACCCTATAGTGATTTGTAAAAGATAATTTCCAAATTAGAAATGATGCTTTATTTATTTTTTTACATAAATAATCAACTGAAGGCAAAATTACCATAACATACCATATAACAAGACACACACACACACACACACACACACACACACACACACACACACACATCAGGTCCTATCACGTTTTCAGACACAGCAGATTTTGGAGAACAGATGAGGAGGTCTATCTGGGCAAATTTAACATTCCTCTAAGAGTGTGAGAAGTTTCCAAGCCTGGACAAACAGCAACATGTGCAAACGTCCAACCAGACTACAGAACGGTCTTTGTTGTGCAGAGCAGATAGGTTTGTGCTTCTGGCTACTAGTTCCTCCAGAGAGAGAGAAATTATTATGATATGTGTCCATGAAGAGGATGATGTCATGCCTTGAAGATGCCGTTTGGGAGCAGAAAAGTGTGTGTATGTGTGTGTGTGTGTGTGTGGTTCTTCCTGCCTCATCAAGTGCTGTTATGAAAGATCATTCTCAAGTGCCAATGATGCAAGCCAACACCTCTGAGGTCCCTTTTTGGGTTGCAGTGAAGCTAATTAAGAATTTGTGATGATTGAGGTGAAGGTAAGGTGCTTCATGAGAAATGAAAGCCAGGAGATGCGGCTGGGCTTTGGCAACCACTAGTAGCAGCGGCTAAGAGCGAGTCTCTATAGTATTAAGTCAAAAGCAAACACCATCTGAAGTCATGCACCACTGGACTGGAGTGGGAGTACTGAGTTTAAAAAGTCTCCGTGAAACAAGCAAAGACATGTTTGTTGCAGGAGGAGATGAAGGATGGAGTGCCACGTTTTAAACTAAAACCGAACGTTCTTCTTTTCGTCTCTCAACACAGTGAATCACCTGGCTCTGTTATGAAGTTTTTCATAAAGACTTCCATTTTTATCTGTTCTGTTTTCCAGTTTTCTTACTTTATTAGTTTCTATTTTGGGGCGCAGATATTTTAAAGACTGTTGCTTATGTCATGGACCAGCTTCAAGATGTGTCAAAGACCAAAATGTGACATCATGGAAAGGTTTTCCAAGTGATCAAAGAACTGCCTGCTGCTTTTCCCAGTTGCTGGTTCCTGGTTTACGTTTGCATGAGGAGTGCAACTGATCAAAGGTTCTAACCTTAACTCGGGAATAGGCCGGAAACCTACGCAGGCGTTAGCCAATCAGAAATTAATAAAATAATGGAAGATTTAGAAGTTGTCTCAATCTTAAGGAAACACCAAGGAGATGTGTACTAAATTTGCATTTTGGAATAGAAATGGAGAAACAAATTTAATGTTACAATCTTAAAGTAATTCTAGCAGGACCAAATGAAACTGTTTATTAGAACGAGTTTGATTTCTGTTTAATGGCTTGGCCTGTATAATGTCATTAAATGACGATCAACATCAGGACACAGTTGAATTAATTTCCAGTTTTATTTCCCCATTCAGATTTACTCTGTCTGGTTTTAAAGGGCTGTTTTATATCAGGGAACACTCTGTTTACCCATCGCAGTGGTTACATCATCATACAAGAAGTCACCAGTGAACCAACTTAAGAGAAGTGTGTGGTGCCTTTTTCCATTATCAGAGAATAACATGGTGACCATACACATACATTTAAATCTGAATTTCTTTGTGTAAAACTTTGAAGTTTAACGCAGCTCGGTTTAGTCGTTTTACATCCATGTTTATGAATGAAAATCAGCAGAAACACTCGGTTCTTTGTTTCTCTGTCATTTTCTAACGATTGTGATGTTGTAATGGAGAAGCTTCGTCGTTCATCTTGCAGGCTTTGAACGTTGGATCATTTTCAAAGGTTTTATTTTCTCATCAGTAAACTTAGAAGTCTGAATGCAGCGCATCATCAAATGATGTAAAATCTGACGCAGATTGTGGTGAGATCTAATGAGACGACTTGAGCCTTCTTCCAATCAAAACCATACGAGGGTGCGTCTTATCAGAGTGATTATTCTCGTTTCAGAACACCTGCTACTGGACTGTGTGGGGAAAAAAATATTTCTGAATAAAGTATAAAATACTGTTTTAGAAGAAACATTTTTGCAAGCTTTGAATAATTTAAAGTCATGCGGGTTCCCTGTAGCTTAAAGGGCAGACATGGTATGTATGTTTTTTTTAATCAAATCTTAATTTAAGATTTTTCTCTTCAATAACATGTGTTTCAACACATTGCTGTCTAGTTTTGATTAGGAAAACTGAAACTACATGTTGATTTGTAGCACAGAATTAATTTGCCCTCAGTGTCAAAAATGAGATGGTGTTGGACCTAAGTGTAAAAAAAAATAAGGCCTAGTCCACACGTAGCCGGGTTTTTAAAAAAATGAATATCCGCCCCTCCAAAAACTTGCATCCACACCACCTCATTTAAAAAAAATTTCTGTCCACACTTACCCGGATAAATACGTTGTTAAGGACATGCCAGACCTGTAGGTGGCAGTACTTCCCCGTTCTTACCCTCGTCCTTCGTCTGTGGTCTTCCGCAAGGAGCAGTAATTCCGCTTGCAAAAACAAAAAAGCAAAAAGCGCTTGGACAATTGATAAAGCGAGCGCAGTTCTGAGGGCATCCATGATGCCGGCTAGTGTAAACACAGGTCGCACACGTGATGTCAGCATTTTTTGTCGCGGAAAGTGACGTTGCGGACCTTAAAACTCCGGTTTTGTCCGTCCACACGCAGACACCCAAAACGGACAAAACGCAGATCTTCACTTTGGCCGGAGTTTTTAAAAAGATCCGTTTTCATGTGGATGACAGGCCAAAACGTAGAAAAATATCTACGGTACGTTTTGGCAGATCCCCGGCTACGTGTGGACAGGGCCTAGGACTTCCATAACAGCACAGGGCCTCTGAAAACACAGGGAAACACTTGAGCTTAAAGGAGACCGAGAGAGACAAAAGAATCTGACAAACGAGAACGAAACCAGGCAGCTTTTATACTGGAGAGGCGATTGTGGATAAGGAGCAGGTGAGCTGAATCCTGAATGGGAGCAGGTGTACATGACTAACAAGGAAGCCAAGGGAACAAACCACAGAAACACAAGGGACACGGATCACGTTTCAATAAAAATGTTATTAACTGCAATTAGACACAAAGTGGAGTACATGGTGTTGCAGATTACTGAAATGTTGGCTGTTCTAAAAAGTTGTCTCAGTAAATAAAAATCTTTTTAAAGGTCAACTTTACTCAGATTTTAACTGCTAGTAGAGTGCTTTGTAAGTTGTTTTCTGGGGAGAAAACAAAGCTCTGGTGCACATGTTTGAGGAAGTAGAAGTAAGCTGGAGGAACACACAGGGTGTTTCTCAATGCCAAGGAACTTTGCTTTGATGTCTTGGTCTCGCCCCAGTTGCCTAGGAGATACGTCATCAGGAACCACCAAGGCACCTTTTGTTAGCTGTTTAGCTAGCTGAGCAAGGATACACGGGAGGTGTCTTGTAGCCTAGCCTAGCCTTGGTCAAATACTTCCCAAAATACACCGTGATATTTTTAAAAGGATGGCGGATCAGGAGCCGGCACATCAGAATAGAAGTTAGAAGTGATTCATCTAATTACCAGCACTTCAATTTGAACTTTCTCTAACAAGCTAACAAAAACGTGCTCTTTATTTTTGCTGGTAAGCGTGCTGTACTTCTGATAACACATTAAACATATTATGGAAATCTGAATTTTGCATCTTTTCGTGTGGCCGTGTGGGTCTCTACTGTCTACAAATACCCCTTGTATTAGAAAAAAATTGTCTGTCCATTTCTGCTCTCATTCTCTGGTCAAACTCCCACCCCCACAACCAGACTTCACTGACTGAATCAAGATGAATCGCAAATGAAAGACTGATGAATACAAATGCGAAGGACCAGACCGGACTGGAGCTCCCAGCAACAATCAAAATCCTTTGGTGCATGTGAACCACTTCGAGGCAGACTGCTTGTTTCAGTCAGTGAATTCTAATCTTGCATTAATCGCATGAACTCACAACATCACGTGATCTTGCAATTCTCATGTGATTTGGTGACCTTACAGAACCCCGCTGAGTGAAGCTCTTTCATTTTGCATCTGAAATGCTCACAATGGGAGGCTGCTGAGTTCACAAGTAAAACGCGTACAGTGGAAAGGTCCAATTAAAGAGACAGAGCCATGAAAAGGCTCATTTTTAAGGTAATTGGGAATGTCAAGTTTAGAGCTGTTGAGATCACTTTATGTAAAACTGTGCAAAAATCTTTGTTGACGTGTTTTGTGTAGACAATAAACCACGATAAGGTTAAAAATAAAGTCAGAATTTGTCCTAAATGAAAGGAAAGTTGGTTGTTGATGTTCTCTAAATGTAACACACAAAAAACAAAGAAAAATAAACTGTTTTAAATTATTTTTGTTTGATTTTTTTCTTGTTTTTTCTTTTGCAGCAGACACGCTTAACCATAGCACAAACAGAGAGGATAAGCACAATCATTGCAGTTATTAGGAAGAGTATGATATCTAAACAGTAGTACGAGTACCAGGGCATCTTATAAGCTTCAGTACGCAGGTGTGCAGCCCCTTTGTGGTGCATCACATACTCTACCCAGAAGACAGCCTTATCCATGGGAGCTAGTGGTTGATCTTTGTGTAGACGTGACAGTCGGTGCATGTTCTGCCTGTAGCTGTCTTTATAAAGCACTTCCTTAATACCTTCTTCAAAAGTGTCCCCGTTAACATCAGCTAGATGAATGATCTTTGCTGCTCCTCGTTCCTGCAGACGTAGAAGGTTGTCATACTGGTCAAAGAACAGGGGGATACCAAGAACTGGGACTCCATGGTAAATGGCCTCCTGGACTCCGTTTGTTCCTCCATGAGCTACAAAGACTTTGATCTGAGGGTGACCCAGGAGGTCCTTCTGTGGCATCCAGTCCACTATCAGGGTATTATTGCCCAGGGTAGAAGGTCGCTCTCCATTGTGTTTCCATATCACCTGATTCGAAACCAGATGGAGACAGTTCCAATAATATAAGAATGGAATACATCAGCTGCACATTGAAAACATTCTAATAAAATAGTAACAAGGCATCATAAAAGTATGCATGGCTCTGAGTATCTATTATTTATTTTTGAATTATTTCATTCATCTACATTTTTAAATTAAAGAACTCCAACATGGTCAATGACACATTTCTACACACAAATAATGTTTAATAACTGTAAAGTTGAGTCAAAGAAAATCATTTACCTTTTGAGGGACCTTGGCAAAAACTGTGGCTATTTCTTCTACAACCTCTCTAGGCAGCGTTTTGACCAAAGTCCCCAGACTCATGATGATGACTCCATGCTCTCCGGCACTCTGAACAAAGTCCTCCAGGTCTGCTGGAAGAGGCTGGGCAGGCTTGCACTGGAACCCTCCGATATAAACAGCATTTGGCATCGTTGGCCGAGGGAAGTCAAACACAAAATCTGACCTGAACAGCCAGATGTCGGCTTCCTGAAGCAGCGACACGATGTTGCATCCACGTTCAATGTATTTATCACACATGGCATCATAAATAGGCTGCAACAAGAATTTCTCCTGGAACAGTACAAGGCCGTAGAAGAGCATGTTTTTGACCCTCTGGAAGAAACTCATGTTGTCCGTTAAACCAGATCCTGGCACTGGGATGTAAGAAAGCGGTGAGGGGGCCAGCACAAAGTGGCCTTCTCCACTGGTGATCCAGCGCACATTGAGGACTAACGGTAGATTAAGATATTTAGCTAACACAACCCCAGGTCCCATGGCTGGATCGGCAAGAACCAGGTCATAACGGGAATCTTTTAAACTTTTTACCAAATTTTGATTCTCAAATAACTGAATCACAGCATCACGCCAAAGGGAATGGCCATCAACAATCATGGAACAAAAATCCTTTGTGAGTTTTAGGAAGGTCAGCATTGAAGCTCCTTTTCTCTGTGCCTAAAAGTAGAGAAGATATTTAGTTTGTGAATTATTCTACTACAAGACATTTTAGGGCAAACGTAGTCACATACCTTCATATAATCCTGTATGTGTTTATCAAAAAAGCTTTCCAAGCCTACATCCATGTCTATTGTAATGGAGGTGTAGAGGGGAGATGTTTCTGGGATGTACCAGCTGGTGGAAGCCCTGATCACAGAGATGTTGTGTCCTCTGGAATGAAGTTCTTCAAGCAGAATCTTCATATTGATCCAGTGGCTGCCGTCCACAGGGAACACCAGAATGTTTCCTCCATCACAGTGTTGTGGGAAGAAAACAAGACTTAAACTAAAGAGCACAAATATCCCACTCACTTGATGCAAAGACATGGCTCCTAAATGTCAAAGAGAGAATGAAACATTCCCAGTCAAACATAAGGATCATATTTAATAAGTTCCAGACAGTGAAGGTTATATTGTAAAGATATAAAAATTATTGTGTCGTTTTTTGTGGAAATCGATTTGAATGACCTTAATTTGGAGAATCAGCATTTATTTTTTTATAATACACTTTAAATGAATTATTAAAATATGCCACTAATTGACTTTTGTCTTCACAAACTGCAGACCTTTTATTTATCATCATTCTGGTCAGAAGGAGATTGCTTTGCAAAGAGCTCTTCACAATGAGTAAAATAACATTTTTTCTTAACATTTCAAAGATTTCTTTTTTAAGAGAGTGAAATTAGAGTTTTAATATTACGTCAGAAATTCACTTACCTGGAATCACCAGAGCCAACAGCTGTCCTTATTTACTGGAGACTAAAGTCTAATTCAGGGGATCCTTCAACTCTAGTTTCAGAGATGCTCTTTCCTTTCATTAATAAATGCTGTACATTTTCTACGATGTAGACATGTTAAAAATAAAGTAATATTTCCTCATACGTGTCATTATTGTAGTTTTCCAAAATTCGGATAATGAAGTTGTTCAGCAGCCAGCAGTACAAATCTGTGAACCTGTTCCTAGCTGTTCAAACAGAACACGGATTGTGTAATCCAAACATTCGACCTCTTTTGTAGTCGCATTAGAGCAGATTACCTAAGATTAGGCCTCACACATTTCATACTGAGACGTGTGCAAGTGAAATGGAAAATTGTTTCATTGTAGTTTGCAGATTTTGGGTTTTCTCTATTCAGGTTACAGAATAATTATTTAATTGTATAATGATTATATTTTAAGTTTAAATTTTATTTATTTTTCTCTAAAGTTTCAAAAGACATTTTTATATTCAACCATATTTAATAAAATATTACATTGAAGTTGCAAGCAGATGCAATTTGTTGCTTTAGTGGTTAGTTTGGGTTTCAAATGAAAAACGAAGAAAATGAGAACAACTTCCTCAAATAATTCACAGCAAGTCAAGTTTGTAAAATCACATTGTTTATTACATTTTTCACATTTTGAAAGTTTATACACAAACTTGATCCAATACATTCTTCTTTGTAAACCAAGATCATCATCCTCGTGCAAATCTTAGTTTAGAAGTGACTCAATTGTGAAACTGTGTTTTTTGTAAGTACCCTTTAATCGCTATTGTCCAGATTACAAAAAGTTCAAAGTTATCTTGTAAGTCTCGGTGTGCAAATTCTACTTGTTTGTACTTTTTCTCAAAGCTGTTTGCTTTTCCCTGAGCCAAGAACAAGTCAAAGTGTCATTAGGTAAGGCATTGAACTCCCCTTTGCTCTAGAAAACCTCAAAATTTATTAAAGGTGTGGAACACTAAAAAACCATTTTAAAAATATTATTTCTTATTAGAATCAGTTACTCTGACTTTTTCATGTAGGCTGAACATGAAAACAGTCTCCTACAACTATCTCTTGCATTAGCTTCTGATAGAAAACAGACAATGAAACTCTAGGATTTGAAAATCCTCACAGTTCTACGTCACACTGCCACTTAACATTTATGAATTCACCGTTCTTGACTTGTGACAGCGAAGAATGTTGTTGGTTTAGCTTCCAGGAAACAGCAGAGAACGTCTCAGCTAGTAGAAGCTAATTGTTAGCATTAGCAACTCCACAACACAGCAGAAGCTCCTCCAGGCTTGCGATACTTGTGGAGCTAAAACAGCAATACTGCAGCAAATGGAGTCAGACGTAGTGTCACGTTGCTCTATGTCAGAAAATAAGACTCCAAAACCTGCCGTCAGAAGCTCAGGTGTTCTGTAGCTTACTTCTAGCTCCTGGAAATGGTGCACCAGTGTTTTGTTTCCCCTGAGACTTCCTCAGCTGATTGCCAGATGCTAAACCAACAACAGCCTTCCCAATCATGAGTCAAGATCGGTGAGTCTATGATTGCTAATTCACAGTGTGATGTAGATCTGTGAGGATTTTCTAATCTTAGATTTTTACAATTTATGTTCTATCAGAAGATACTGTAGGACATAGGTGTAGGAGACTTTTTTCATGTTAAGCCTGCATGAAAAACTCAGTGACTGATTATAACCAGAAAAAAAAACATAAAAAATGTTTTTTCATTCAACCACACTTTTTAAAATGTTCATATTTCCTTTTTTTATTTAAAATGTTTTATGGCAAAATCCCAAACTTGTATGATTTCAAACAGCAGTTCTGAGTATGATGAGATCTGATCCAAAACAGACCTGTCAAATGAGGGAAAAGGAAATTCCTTTCATAATTGTTCTGCCAAAATATTCTGCACATTGTGTAGATGTGAAGTCAAAGTTTTCAGCATCGTTTTAAGCTGATTTTTAGTCATCAGGTCTAACAGCAAGAGGTTCATCCAAAGCTGTTTGAATTCAAATTATGAAGTTTATAATTATTAAAATCAACAATGCTTTATCACCGGTCAAATTTTCATACATCGGTGGACACATTTTTCTACTTTTAATGGTAAGAAAAGAGATATCTAAACCAGCCTTTACCCTAGAGATGCAATTAATCAGTTTTGTTTTGTTTTTAGCTTTCTTTTTCCAGAGCAGCAAATGCATCTAAAAACAGCCAAAACTGAAAAGAGGAGCAGAATTGTTGCAGTAATTAAAAATAAAAGTACATCAAAACAGTAGTACGAGTACCAGGGCATCTTATAGGCCTCGGTACGCAGGTGTGCAGCCCCTTTGTTACGCATCACATACTCTACCCAGAACATAGCCTTATCCATGGGAGCGACCTGTTGATCTCTGTGTAGACGTGACAGTCGTTGCATGTTCATCTTATAACTACTGTTGGAGACAATTTCCTTTATACCTTTTTCAAATGTGAGTCCATTAACATCAGCCAGCCTAATGATTCTTGCACCTCCTCTTTCCTGCAGACGTAGAAGGTTGTCATACTGGTCAAAGAACAGGGGGATACCAAGAACTGGGACTCCATGGTAAATGGCCTCCTGGACTCCGTTTGTTCCTCCATGAGCTACAAAGACTTTGATCTGAGGGTGACCCAGGAGGTCTTTCTGTGGCATCCAGTCCACTATCAGGGTATTATTGCCCAGGGTAGAGGGTCGCTCCCCTTTGTGTTTCCATATCACCTGATTAGAAACCAGATGGAGACAGTCAGTATAAGAAAGTTGAGCTAAAACCTTTTCCACTTTTGTACTAAGGCAATAATTGTAGAGCATACATATGCTATTAGCTGCTACATTCTAACCTCGGTTTCACACTGACATAGAACAGCGGAACGGCAGAGGAACGCCACTGCTTCTAATAGCATCCATTATAGTCTGTCTGCTGTTTCAAACCAGCAGCGACGCGGCAATTTCCAGGCGCGTCACCGAAGCGGCACACCACTAAAGATAAGATTGGGTTCTATTTTTGCCCTGAGCTGCTTCTGGGACAAGTCAATTTCCGTCGTTAATATAGGACTAAACAGAAAATCACACACTGTTTCAGTGTAAAATCCCTGTTAATTTTCAAAATAAAAGTTCGGCAATGATGCCATTTCATACACGAAGCTAACGTGTGACCTAATGACTTATTTACTCACAGCATCGTTCCAGAAGTGCAGTGGTGTGTTTTCATGACTATTCCTGGCAGTGGAGAGGAGCAGCATCATATAGGACATAAAACAGCGATATAAAAGGTGACTTCTTTCTTTTTGGTTTAATGGCGTGTTGCATAAACGAACCGTGGCCTGAAGTCTCGAGGGATCGTGTGATCTCTCAATTCCAGCAAAGAGCACGGCAAGGAAGCCGAGCGACTACCAAGACTCTCCTGGTGTGAAAAAAAATGCTTTGAAGTTCGCGAGTAAATTGTTCCGCTGCCGTTACACGCCGGCGATGCTTCCAGTGTGAAACCAGTGTCATATAAAAAGAATTCAGTTACATCAACAAGGCATCATTATTTTTTTGTGGGCTTACAGTACCAAAGGCTTAGTGTGGCAACAGGCAGGGAAGGGGAAATTGATTTCGGCCCAGACCACAAGGGGCCCCCTGAGGGTTGACAAACTTTGAGCCAAGTGGTAACCACAAAAGTTGTGAGATAGTGAAATACCTGACGGGGCCCTCCTGCTCTCGCCCATTGCTCCGTTAAAAACCGGCTGCACACTTCTCGACCCCTTGATATGGAATCATGTCTGCAACACCAGCCCATCTCTGCCAGCCTTTAAGAGTCGCCTAAAAACACACCTCCTCCGCTTGGCGTTTCCAGAACATGTTTGATTTTGGCCCTCTTTTATGTTGAATTTATTTCACAGTTTTCACTGGTTCACTCAATCCGTTGTTTTACACATTTGTCCTGTACCAGAATGTTTCAACTATTTTGTAATTTGTATTTTGTAATTTGAATTGCTTTTATTTTTGATTTATTCAATATATTTACCTTCAACTGAACCATGTTCAGCGCTTTGGGCTTCCTGACAGGGTTGCAGAAGGCGCTTTATAAATAAAGCTTTGATTGATTGATTGATTGATTGATTGATTGATTGATTGATTGATTGATTGATAACACCCCCACCCCACCAGCTCAGACAGAGAAGCTCCCTAGTCTGCTCTGGACACCAGGTCTTTTTTCTTGGGGCCCCATGACAGCCTTGAAGCGCCACTGCACAGCAGTATCAATTTTTCTGTAAAACCCAATCTCCTTTTTGTTTATGATTATAAGAAATCAATCTGACTTTTGTTGCCAGTGAAAAAAATTCACATTTTAAAATATAACCACTCCAACATGATCAGTGATAAATTTCTACCCATGAATAATGTTTAATTAAATCAAATGCTCCACCAGAAAGAAAAGTTTACCTTTTGAGGCATTGTGGCAAAAACTGTGGCTATTTCTTCTACAACATCTTTGGGCAAAGTTTTGACCAAAGATCCCAGACTCATGATGATGACTCCATGCTCTCCGGCACTCTGAACAAAGTCCTCCAGGTCTGCTGGAAGAGGCTGGGCAGGCTTGCACTGGAACCCTCCGATATAAACAGCATTTGGCATCGTTGGCCGAGGGAAGTCAAACACAAAATCTGACCTGAACAGCCAGATGTCGGCTTCCTGAAGCAGCGAGACGAGGTTGCATCCACCTTCAACGTATTTTTCACACATGGCATCATAAATGGGCTGCAACAAGAATTTTTGCTGGAACAGTACAAGGCCATGGAAGAGCATGTTTTTGACCCTCTGGAAGAAACTCATTTTGTCCGTTAAACCAGATCCTGGCACTGGGATGTAAGAAAGCGGTGATGGGGCCAGCACAAAGTGGCCTTCTCCACTGGTGATCCAGCGCACGTTGAGGACTAACGGTAGATTAAGATATTTTGCTAACACAACCCCTGGTCCAATGGCTGGATCAGCAAGAACCAGGTCATAATGGGAATCTTTTAAACTTTTTACCAAATTTTGATTCTCAAATAACTGAATCATAGCATCACGCCAAAGGGAATGGCCATCAACAATCATGGAACAAAAATCCTTTGTGAGTTTTATGAAAGTCAGCGTTGAAGCTCCTTTTCTCTGTGCCTAAAAAACAGAGAAAACTTCCAGTAAGTGAATTTTTTTCCCGGAAGCAAAATTTCACAACATGAAAATCACATACCTTAATATGTTCCTGTATGTATGCATCATAAAAGTGTTCCAAGCCTGCATCCACTTCAATTTCAATGGATGTGTAGAGGGGAGATGTTTCTGGAATGTACCAGCTTTTCGAGACCCTGATCACAGAGATGTTGTGTCCTCTGGAATGAAGTTCTTCAAGCAGAATCTTCATATTGAGCCAGTGGCTGCCGTCCACAGGGAACACCAGAATGTTTCCTCCATCACAGTGTTGTGGGAAGAAAACAAGATTTAAACTAAAGAGCACAAGTATCCCACTCACTTGATGCAACGACATGGCTCCTAAATGTCAAAGAGAGAATGAAACATTCCCAGTCAAACATAAGGATCATATTAGATCATATTTAGTAAGTTCTAGACAGTGAAAATGACATTATTGAGTTATAGGGTTGAAGAGACAATGCATATTTTTACCATTAATCTCTGGAAATATCCACTGAAATTGAATGAATGAATTAAATGATGCCCAGTTGTTTAATTCTATTGGTGGCTTGTAACATATGACCATAAAAATCGGGTCGAAAGCTTGGTTTATGCTCCTGAGTCAGCTCAACAAGGGAGAGACACGCACGGATTGACAGAAGCGTTTGCCCTCATACTTCTCCGTCTTCTGGGGAGGGTTGCAAATCAATTTCCGGCCAGGACAACAGAGGGCGTAGCGCTGTTCCGGGGTGTCCTGTTATGTATCCAGTCCAAGATAGTGTGTTTGTATTGTGTTTATGTAATTCAGAGACTTTTTAACACGGACAAATGTATCCCTCATTCTCCTCCACCTCCTTGTGCGCCCGCCACCTCTAAACCCACGTTTCCCGTCATTTCTGTCCACAAATAAAATGCTTGCTGCCTACCTTTTCACTTCTCCAGTCACGGGAGAATAAACGTTCATATTTTTTAGAGTTTTTCCACAAGGTATTCGTCAATCTACTCCATGTCTGCCACTAGATATCTTTGTTTATGAGGGTGCAATTGCGGTGCTGTTGACAAAGGTGGTGTCCTGACCAATCACAAGCTTGCTCTCTGTCTCATTCGACGGATGCTTAGAAAAGAGAGCTTGACTCCGTCCGTCCTTGTGAGCCTGCTGGAGAGCCCTCGCAAGGACGGATAATGGCGTTGTGTGTCTCCGTACTGACAGAGACGCAGAAACAAAAGCTAGGCTCAAGTCTCTGGGCGATGCCATATTAGAAGCCATGTTTCCTTTTATGGGAGCCCGTGAGGACTAAACACATTTATTGATTTGTAACGAACCGTTACAAAGATTTAGCCATTCATTAACGTTGTTTTACACATTTACCTCTTCACTCATTGTCAGTGATGAAAGTGAGTCTGCTTGCCATTTTGCTGGAGATTGCGCTCCCATGAATTTTTGACCCTAATGAGCATCCGTTGCTAAGGTCTTACTCAAAAACAAAAATAACTCCTGCTTACAATGATTTACGTATGTACTGCCCCTATTCACCAGGGAAAATACACATAGTCACTTTAATGTCTCACATAGATTTTTGAATGGCCTCAGTTTGGTGAAATAATATTAAAGCCATTGAAAATGAGTTTTTAATTTTTGGAAGTGATTCATTTTTGTCTTTACCCATCTCAGACAAGTTGTTAACTCATCAATCAGAACTAGACTAGATTAAATCTTATTTTTGCTCAAACTGGAACCCTTCAAAAACCTGTCCACAGTAGAAAATAACAGATAAATAACGTCTCACAGAATCCTCATCCAAATGAGTTAAATTAGCGTTGTAATAATACGTGAGAAATTCACTCACCTGGAATCCCCAGAGCCAACAGTCGTCCTCGTTTATCGGAGACTAAAGCCTCATTCAGGGGATTCTTCAAATGTTTGAGATGGAACTGTCAGAGATGTCATTAATAAATATCAGTCATTTATAGAAATGAACAGACAACGACAAACACTCCTCCAATTTAATGTTATTGGGTTTTCCAAAACTCTGGTACTAAAGTATCCAAACAGCCAATAGTAACCTGTACAAACAAGTGGGCTGTCATTTTTTGAACCCGTTTCTGGCTTTTCAAACGAACACAAATTGGGTAATCCAAACCTTTGAACTCTTTTTAGTCACACTCGAGTGGATTATTTTAGATTAAACCTCACATATTTTATACTCAGACAATGAAATAAAAGAAATGTTATTTTATTGTAGTAGACTGCAGATTTTGGTTTATCTCTATATTGCAGTTACATTTTATTTTTTTAATCTGACCAATTAATTTCTTCAGCAAATGTCTGTTGAAATATTTTTTAAGATTAAATTTATCACTCAAAAAAATTCTGATTAATTGTCTTCACTGTGAACTCGAAAAAGTAAAAAACAAATCCTGCTTAATGACTTTATTAGCCAGAATGTCAATTAAGAGTTGCTAAATATGTTTTCTTAGTTGATAGTAGTTTTAGATTTTCACACATTGCAAAAATGTTACACTCAAAATGTTCTTTACTTAAAACAAATTTTAGTGCACTGGACAAAAATAATATTTCATATATTTTATCAAAAGACTGATAAATAAATGGTTTAATATGTTTAAAGATCAGTTTATATCTTATTTCTTACTTGGTTTGAACTCATTGAACCTGCACCACAAAGACCCTAAGACTTTTATATTCCATCATCTTTATTTAAATGTTACGTCATTCGGAGGCAGCTGACCAATGCAACGTTTGCTTTAGTGGTTTATTTGGGTTCAAATGGAAATAGAATGTGATAAAAATTCACAGCTAAACAGGATCGTCCAAAAATCAAAAATCTTTTTCACATTTTTTAATGTTTCCACACACACTGTATACAATGCATTCTTCTATGTAAACCATGAGCAAAAACTCCACAAAACTCAAATTTTAAGACTGACTCAACTGTAAAACTGTGTTTTTTGTAAGTTAAGTGGTGTTCCCTTTCATCATTATCATTCAGAAAGTTCAAAGTGAACGTAAGTTAACTTGTAGTCTCAGTGTCCAAATTCTATTTGCTTGTACTTTTCCTCCAAAACTGTTTGCTTTTACCTCAGCCAAGAACATGTCAAAGTGTCCATGGGCAAGGCAATGAACTTCCTTTTATTCTTGAAAGCCTGCAGCCTCATTAAGAATGGTCAGTTTTAGTTAACTTGTTAATTAAAGGTCATTATGTAGAAATTAACTAAAAAGGACATCATTTGGTAAAAATCTGGTTGTTGCAACCATTTAAAACAAACCTGGAGCTTTTTGACGTCCGTCGTCAAATTACAATTGTCTGCGCTGCAGTTTCAGCTCTCAGGAGACATGATCACTCCACACTCACTGATGTTAACAGTAGTTGCGTCCTTCCTTCCTTTGTTTTGAAAGAAGAAAAACTGACAATCCCCACAGCCAGCTGGATACGAAATAACCTTCCTTCCAAAATAACTGACGTTAGACTTTTTGTGATTTTCTCACTGTGAAATTCTCGCTATATTCCTACATACTGCACCTTTAAATGTTTTGTAATGAGGACGCTCGAAGTTGTGACCACAACATACCAGCCTTCAAGATCAACAGAGAACTACATCAAGCATAACTTTTGTCTGTTAAAACCATCGACATAAATATACTGGACATCTCCTTTCCATAGGCTCCAATATCACGTTTTTGAGGCCAAATGGGAGGTGGCCACCACCACCATTTTGACCGTGTCACAGGTTCCGTCAAGCCCAGACAATTCCACAAAAGGGAAGAGAAGAGGAGCTGAGGGTGGGGCTGTAAGGCTGGGATCAACTGACAACACCCGGTCGAACTAGCTACAAGCTAACCTGAAGCTAACCCTGAGGTGGGAGCTAAGCTAACAGAGGTAGCAACCTAGCTACAACCGGAGTTAACTGTGCACAACACCAGAGCTTCTGAGTCAGAGATATGCCGGGCTGACCGCTGGGTAAAACCGGGTGGAACACAGAGGTCTCCGAGACCTAAGCTGGCAGCCGCACAGCAGACAAACGCCGCTGCGATCTGAGATGCGCAGAGCTATATCCCAGAGCTCCACAAGCCGGCAGCCCGCGCATCAAACATCGGTTTCCCGAGAGCTCCACAAGCCGATAGTCGGAACCCAGCTCCACCAACATGTTATATTTCAACCCATTTTCTAAAGTGCAGCATTATGTTAAATGCACTGGGTTACCCTATAACATTTAAATTTCATGGCTAAACAGTACATGTTAAAATCTAAGCTCAGCTCGGCAGTGACCTAAAATACATAAATATAATTTTACTTACCGAAAAAAATGAAGTGGAGACTCCTTGGACGCTCTATTAGTGCAATTAATGCCACAGCAAGTCATTTTGTCCAACAATTGCACAAAAAACATCCAAAAAAGAATCCACAAACACAGAGACTCAAAATGCCAGAGCAGTTTCCAAGCCAGACCGAGGCTCTACTGAGGCCTTTCCACGGAGCTAGCTCTGTGGTCACGTGGGTCTGATGCTCATTAATTATACAGAATTTTAGGCTTTTAATACACTTAAACAGAAGTGAGAAAAAATTCACCCCCCTCAGAGTTGTCATGAGTGTAAACTAGATAATTTAAACAAAAAATATGTTTTGGTACCAGGCTGTAAACATGTTTATTTCTGCTGTGAAATTGGTATTTTTAACATGGGAGTCAATGAGGATTTGCTCGCTTCTGACACCAGCCCCCAGCGGATGAGGGTGGAACCGCAATTTTTGGTACTTCCGGGTTTGACTCAATTTTCGAGCCGCTTTGGGGGGGGGGGGGGGGGGGGGGGTGAGATCCGCCCAGAGTTCCTTAAGGCTCTGGATGTTGTGGAGCTGTGTTTGCTGACACGGCTCTGCAATATCGCGTGGACATCGGGGGCAGTCCCACTGGACTGGCAGACCGGGGTGGTGGTCCCCTCATTTAAAAAGGGGGACCGCAGGGTGTGTTCCAACTACAGGGGGATCACACTCCTGAGCCTGCCTGGTAAGGTCTATTCAGGGGTTCTGGAGAGGAGGGTCCGTCGGATTGTTGAACCTCAGATTCAGGAGGAGCAATGTGGTTTTCGTCCTGGCTGTGGAACACTGGACCAGCTCTGTATACCAGATGTTGAATGGTCAAACAGTACCTAAAAACTGACCATTGCTGGACGTTAAATCAATTAAAACTTGATGTTTCCCAGATTCACTTACCTTGTATTGAGAGCAGTAGTTTTCATTCTTTACCACAGACTGACAGTCTGCTCAAGGGAGTCCTTCAATATTTGAGTTCAAACTCCAACCTCAGAGGTTTCGTTCTTTCACAAGGGTTCATGGAACACTCACATTAGGCTGCTATAAATCTGCAAATAAAAGTGATTGTTTCATCCATCTTTGAAATTTTCATCTTCAATGTTTGTTTAATCTTATGTACACCTTATTGAATGTGTTGCCTGTTAAAAGGGTACAGAGCTTGTGCAAAACATCTTTTTTTTTACATTTCGAAGCTGTATTAGAAAGGGTTAATTCAGATTCAGCTTCTTGAATTTAAATTATATCAAATCCAAATGTACATCTGAATTTACATTTAATGTGTGTGTGTGTGTGTGTGTGTGTGTGTGTGTGTGTGTGTGTGTGTGTGTGTGTGTGTGTGTGTGTGTGTGTGTGTGTGTGTGTGTGTGTGTGCACCAGCTCTATTGAAAGCCATACTTCTTATGCCAACATTAAGGTGCAATATAATACAAAGTTTATCTATTAATAAAATGACATGCAGTAGTACAGTCAGTGACAGTTTAGAAGCTAAAACTTCTGACTGTTTTGGTGGGCCAAAAGATGTCATTTGTCAGTAATTTGCGTCACTTACAAACAGAGCATTAACATGACAGAATAAGCAAATAAACAATTTTTTAAGTCAAGGGGAACACCCAAACAGTGCTAACAGGAAGATCTGACAATACTTTGCTGAAACGTGAGTACTAATTACCTGTTGGAAGGGAGATTGCTGAATAAGTGCAGCTGTGTTGATTGAAAATTGAAAGATAGGTGCAAGTAGAGCAGCATAATATAGAGAGCAAAGAGAAAACATTGTACAGATATAGATACAGAGACTGATGTAGAACTCAAAGATGCTCAGACAGTAGAAAAAGTGATTTATTTAGTAGTTTCAGTAATAATCTGTTTGCTTGAACTCAGTTTTGAAGAATATCATGTCATCAGTCGGTCAAAAGTGAAAAGTGTTCTCGGATAAAACTATGAACTTCCTTTGGTGGCTTACACAGTGAAAAACAGCACTGTGTTCATGCATTGGAAACGTATAAGACAAGCACTGGCTTTTGTATGAAATCAAAATAAAATTAAATCTACTCATAATTGTAGTCCATTTATTCTATTAAGGCAAATGTTTAGTGGTCAGATTTACTGACAAGTAAATGAGTTAAATGTGTTGAAAGTCAGTGTTGTAACTTGCATTAAGCATAATCAAACACAAACCGACTTTCTGAAAATTAAAAATCATGAAAGGGACTTTTAAACCTGCATAGACAAGTACCTGTAGAATTATCCAGAGTGGACATTTTCACAAGTTTGTCTACACACCATCAACTTAAAGGAGCAATATTTAAGAATTCTAAAGTGAAACGATCACAAAACTGCCAAATGTCTCAATCACGATGGAAAGGAAGGTCATACTAAAGCAGATTTCATTCTCAGTCGGCTGGGGGGTTGTTAGTTTTTCTCCTTTAAAAAACAACAAAAACAAAGGAGAACGGTAAAAATGTCACAAACTTTTTTCAATTACCAACAATTTGATAGTACAGTGAAATGTATGTGTGATGTGAATAATGAATCAATGGTGGCGTCTTACTTCCTTTAATGAGTCGTTCAGAATAACAGCAGCAAGCTACCGGTAAAACAGCAAATAACCACACTTCCATTAATGCCAGAGACACACTGCCATAATAACTGTAGTAAGTTCTCCCTACCATAAAATATCCAGAAGCGCTAACACCAGATAGGACAATGTATTTATCTTTTTATCAACTTACTGTGTACACTTTGGTGGTCACCTAGAATCTTCTAGTGCTGATCCATCCATATGGTAACTTGTTTGGAAAAATGACATTCTGCAATACCCAAATTTGACCACAGAATGTCATTTTTACATATTGAACCTTTAAAGATTAACACATAGGAGTATGACATATTTTAGAAGATTTTTATCAAGCATTTTAATTGTGCACTTTGGTAAATACAATTTATTTTTCTTCCTTTCAAGGCCAGGTCTGACCAGGAAAATGTTTTTTTTTATCTCACTGGGATATTTTATATTGTTAAATTAAAGTTCAATAATATAAAATAGCAAGTTTGAATTATTAAAGACAAATTAATTATTTGACCAGACAAAAAATTTATCGCGAATACAAGCAGCCGAAATGAGTTTTCTCCGTAGGGTGGCCGGGCTCAGCCTTAGAGATAGGGTGAGGAGCTCGGACATTCGGGAGGGACTCGGAGTAGAACCGCTTCTCCTCCGGATCGAAAGGAGTCAGTTGAGGTGGTTTGGGCATCTGGTCAGGATGCCTCCTGGACGCCTCCCTGGGAGGTGTTTCGGGCATGTCCTGCCGGCAGGAGGCCTCCGGGTCGACCCAGGACATGTTGGAGAGGTTACATCTCCAATCTGGTCCGGGAACGCCTTGGGGTCCTGCCGGAGGAACTGGTGGAGGTGGCTGGGAGAGGACGGTCTGGAGCTCCCTAGTTGGGATGCTGCCCCCGCGACCCGGACCCGGATAAGTGGAGGAAGACGAAGACGAAAAAAATAATCCAAATTATTTAAAACAAAGGTTTCATATTTCAATTTATCAAATTTTGTAAAACACTTTGGAAAATAATTGCCTTAAACCCCTTCTGGTAAATTTTAAAAGAGATCAACTTTGCTTAGGTTTGGTGTTTCTTCTTCTGTAGCAAAGATATCTAACCATAACAATGATGGAGAAGAAAATCAAAGTTGTTGAACTTATCAAGAAGAGCAGTACATCCAATGAGTGGTAAGAGTACCAGGGCATCTTATACGCCCCAGTACGCAGTTGTGCAGCCCCTTTGTTGCGAATCACATACTCTACCCAGAAGACAGCCTTATCCATGGGAGCTAGAGGTTGATCTTTGTGTAGACGTGACAGTCGGTGCATGTTCTGCCTGTAGCTGTCTTTATAAAGCACTTCCTTAATACCTTCTTCAAAAGTGTCCCCGTTAACATCAGCTAGATGAATGATCTTTGCTGCTCCTCTTTCCTGCAGACGTAGAAGGTTGTCATACTGGTCAAAGAACAGGGGGATACCAAGAACTGGGACTCCATGGTAAATGGCCTCCTGGACTCCGTTTGTTCCTCCATGAGCTACAAAGACTCTGATCTGAGGGTGACCCAGGAGGTCTTTCTGTGGCATCCAGTCCACTATCAGGGTATTATTGCCCAGGGTAGAGGGTTGCTCTCCTTTGTGTTTCCATATCACCTGATGAGACAAAATAATATGTTTAGTAAGAGCCTATGACCAGGTACTTTTACAGTATGCTATGGTATTTCACACAAAAACATCTTTGGTACCCTAGCAAAACATTGCTGCAATGACATCCAATGGAAACACAGTCAAATACGCAAACGTCAGAGCTAGGGTATAAGGATTAATACTTAAAGAGAGTCAAAAAGCATTGTTTACCTTTTGAGGCATCTTGGCAAAAACACTAGCTATTTCTTCTGTTACCTCCTTGGGCAGTGTGTTTACCAAAGTCCCCAGACTCATGATGATGACTCCATGCTCTCCGGCACTCTGAACAAAGTCCTCCAGGTCTGCTGGAAGAGGCTGGGCAGGCTTGCACTGGAACCCTCCGATATAAACAGCATTTGGCATCGTTGGCCGAGGGAAGTCAAACACAAAATCTGACCTGAACAGCCAGATGTCGGCTTCCTGAAGCAGCGAGACGATGTTGCATCCACCTTCAATGTATTTATCACACATGGCATCATAAATCGGCCCCACCAAAATTTTCTCTTGAAACAAAACAAGGCTATAGAAGAACATGTTTTTGACCCTTTGGAAGAAACTCATGTTGTCTGTTGAACCAGATCCAGGAACTGGGATGTAAGAAAGCGGTGAGGGGGCCAGCACAAAGTGGCCTTCTCCACTGGTGATCCAGCGAACATTGAGGACTAACGGAAGCTTGAGGTGTTTAGCTAACACAACCCCTGGTGCTATTGCTGGATCAACAAGAACCAGATCATATTGGGAATCTTTCAAGCTTTTGACCAAAGTTTTGTTGTTTAAGATTTGATTTGTAGCATCCGACCATAAAAGATGTGCTCGAGCAATCATAGAAAGAAATCCTTTGGTGAGCTTGAAGAAAGTCAGCAGGGAAGTTCCATCTCGCTGTGCCTAAAATGTAGAAGTACAAGACTATTTACTCTTTGCACTCATGAACCATGTCAGGCAGGAAAAGCTCATACCCTCAAATGTTCTTGTAGGAACACATCAAAGAAATCCTCCACATCTTCGTCCATTTCAATTGTGATGGATGTGTACAGGGGAGACTCTTCTGGGATGTACCAACTGGTAGAAGACCTGATCACAGAGATGTTGTGTCCTCTTGTGTGAAGTTCTTGTAGCAGAATCTTCATGTTAATCCAATGGCTGCCATCCACCGGATACACCAGAATGTTTCCTCCATCACAGTGGGGTGAGAAAGAGAGCAGACACAAGCTGTAGAGTACAAATATCCCAGACACACACTGCAAAGGCATGGCTCCTAAAAAATAGCACATAAACAAAAATGACAGCTACATCAACTCATTTTATACAGAATTTCAACAAAAAGTTACAACATTAACACATTATGGTACCTGTTGTCGACAGAGGCAACAGTTGTCCTTCCTTACGGCAGACTGACAGTACATTCAGGACATTTACTACATGTTTGAGTTCAAACTCCAGCCTCAAGAGATACCACGTCCTTTCCCATGCATAAAGCTCACTCTACCAGAAACTATATTCAAATGTTCTCTCTGTTATGGCAATATCGCTGTATAATTAAAATGAAAATGTTTAACAGCTGATAGTCACCAAAACAGATACTGTCGTTTTGTACACTTGATTTTTGGTGTTGAGCAATAAATGAGCGGCACAATTTCTCCATGACCTCTTTCATAATTGTATCAAAATCTTATGTAAAACAAAACCTCACAAGTTTTATTACATTTTAGAAAGGCTAATGCATATCTGAAAAAATAATGAGTTTCTTTTTGTTATTTGTGCAAGGGATATTTTAATTAGTGCAATAAATGCAGCTACTATGTAATCTATTATTTTTGTGAAAAACCTGCGCTAATTCACATTGTTTTATTGTCAAACATGTTTGTTCTATTTGCTGCTGCTTCACTGCCAGGCTTTCTACTAAAACTGTTTCTAAGAACGTCATGAACTATAGTACAAAGGTGCTGCAGCTTGCTCAGTTAACTTGCAGCAGGATCATGTTTCAATCTGGGTTATCTCAGTGCTCTTTAGGCTAAGGTAAATGATCTCTTATGCTTATGGTGTTTTGTGTTTTTTGTTGTTGTTTTTTTTACTTAACTTCATTAAAACCATCAAGGGGCTCAGTAAAAAAGATCACTGGTAACTTATTTCATTCAATAGTTCTTCTGAGCTAATAGACTCATGAATGTGTTATTGAGAAAATCAATACTACCACATAAACAGAGGTTGATGTCCATTCTGATCACACATTTAATGAATAAATATATAAAAGACTGACAGCTGGGAGATTTATTGAATTATCATAATTTGAGTCTTGCATGACTGAAACAGTATGCAATCAGGATCTCTCTTTAGGCAAGGCAACATTATTTATACAGCACATTTCATATACAGAAGAAATTCAGTGGACTTTCCAGGAACAAGAACAGCAAGAAAGTAATACATTAAAATTGACGTGACAACATGAAACTACAGATTTTGAAATAAATTTTAAAATACACAAAAACAATTAGATGTAGCAATAAAAAGGCTAAGTTAAAGAGTGAGCAGTTACAATGCAAGGATGCTGAGTCCATCTGTGTGCAGCATAGAAGCTAAATGTAGCTTCACTCTGTTTGGTTCTGATTCAAGGCTTCCTAAGAATCTGAGAGCCCTGCTGGGTGTTTGCAAGGAGATACAACATGTATTCTGGACCCCATGCCACTGAGTGACTTATAAACTAGTAGAAACACTTTAAAATTGATTCTCTGGTTTTCTGGTAACCAGTGCAGAGATTTAAGAACAGGAGATATGTGCTTGAGTCTCTATGTTTTAAAGACTCTAGCAGCTGTATTCTTAATAAGCTGCAGTTGCTTCACAGCATTTCTGGGAAGACCAGACAAAAGACCATTGCAATTTATGTTTTTAGTTATTGTCATGGCAGTAATCTGAAACAGATAACACAAAAAGTTGTCCAAAATGCATGTTTTTAAAGATTTGAAATACATTCTGACTCCAGCAGAGTTTCTCTGTGACCGTGACATCAACAACTCACAATACTGAAAAGCACAACATGCATGTAATTCTCCGTTCCTACAGTTCATAGTGCCAAACGTTAGGCTCGTGTGACACTTGTATCCCCAACATGCAGGGCAGTTGCACAATGTGACCACCTCACTCACAGTAGGACCCTGTCACATTGTTGATAAGGTCGTCAAATGTGTTAACAAAGCATCGATTGTGTCTGGTCACATCTACTCATTATTGTGATAGAATATCAGTTAACATTATTGCTCCATTCCTGCCTCACTTGATGCAATCTTTTAATCATTCTTGATGTGCACTCTCTTTAGAAACCAAATCATGTTTACATCAATTGCTAGACTGCAAATTACATTCAAATCTGAAAATTCCTTGTTCCAATTTTTTAAGTTTTTGTGAGGAGTGTATTTATAAAACTGACCTACTTCTTGACCAACACTATACACATACGCATACTTTTAAAATTTGGTCTAAACCTTGTGTGGCCAAATTTAAAATTAGGTCAGTTTTGTTTACATTTTGTGTTCCTTTTTCCTCTGCAACAAAAAAATCGAAGGACAGCAAAGACAGACAGAAAGGCTACAGATACTGTGGTAATCAACAACAATAACACATCTAAACATAAATATGAGAACCAGGGCATCTTATAGGCATCAGTACGCAGGTGTGCAGCCCCTTTGTTGCGCATCACATACTCTACCCAGAAGATGGCCTTGTCCATGGGAGTCACTGGCTGATCTTTGTGTAGACGTGACAGTCGTTGCATGTTCTGCTTATAACTACTGTTGTTGAGAATGTCCTTAATACTTTCTTCAAATGTGTCTCTATTAATATCACCTAGCAGGATGATCTTTCCACCTCCTCTTTCCTGCAGACGCAGAAGGTTGTCAAACTGGTCAAAGAACAGGGGGATACCAAGAACAGGGACTCCGTGGTAAATGGCCTCCTGGACCCCATTTGTTCCTCCATGAGCTACAAAGGCTTTGATCTGAGGGTGACCCAGAAGGTCTTTCTGTGGCACCCAGTTCACAATCAGGGTATTGTTGCCCAGGGTAGAGGGTCGCTCCCCTTGGTGCCTCCATATAACCTGAATAGAAAAAGTTAACAGTGGACATCAGTGGAACTCCTGAACTGTCATGACTCCCATCCTTCACCCTCATCTGCCTCCTCATTCAACCTTCATTCAGCTCACCTGGTCCCTTCACCAAGCTCCTGACAAGCCCTGTTTCCCTGGCAACCAGGATCAACTCCATTCTTCTCACCTGTTCCTGTCATCAGCTTCATCCACTTCACCTGCTCCTGACTCCTCAGCTCATCTCACACACCTGCTTCCCCTGCTATAAAAGAACCATCCTGCTATCCAGTCTCTGCCAGATTATTGAAAACATTTGCCAGGAAATTCTCCAGCTACCCACCCTGCCTGACCTCTGCCTCCAGACCTCGTTTTTCTCTTGACCCCTGCCTTGTACTCTGCCTGCCATTTTGGCCTTCGCCTGTCTCCGACTCTGTCTCCAGCCTCGCCCATCTGGTAACTCCACCAAAAATAGACGTTTTTTGTATGCTTTCATTGTGTTTGGCGTCTTCACGGGTCTTCCTAGTTCAGCTCATGACAGAATAATCTGGCCAAAAGTCTGACCCGACACCGACACAGCACTTGGGAGTATTTATTTATTTTTCTTCATACCTGTCATGGAATATCTCACGCTCCTGGAATTCATGGAACTAGAGAAGGAGCAAGAGTCACCGTTCTGGGGATCGCGGCTGGCCATCAGGCCACTGCCACACAGAGGTTCCACTCCTTCGTCCAGGCCTGCTGCGGCCGTCGTGCACAGCGGGTTTCTGACAACGCAACAGTGGCAGTCCCGGAGACCTTCTACTAGTTCATGGCCTTCACAGACGCAAGGTTTTGCAGCTACGCCGCTCAAGCCTCAAGTCCCTCCGTCCCGTCCACGTCCAGTGGTGGTCCCAGGAGGCGCACCGCGTCCACATCCAGTGGTGGTCCCAGGGGGTGCACCGTGTCCACGTCCCACGGTGGTCCCAGGAGACGCACCGCGTCCACGTCCAACGGTGGTCCCAGGAGTCTCACCGCATCCACGCTCAGTGGGGTTCCTACTTCCGCCTTTTGAAGAGGCTCCGCCTGCGCCAGTCCAGTGGTGGTTCCAGGGGTTGCATCGCAACCACATCCAGCGGTGGTCCCAGGGGGCGCATCGCATCCACTTCCAGCGGTGGTCCCAGGATCCTCACCACATCCATGTCCAGCAGGGGTCCCACCTCTGTCTGTCCGAGAGGCTCCGTCTGTCCTGCTCCAGCGGTGGTACCGAGGGTCGCTTCGCATCCTGTCCCGGCGGTGGTCTCGAGGGTCGCTTCGCATCCTGTCCCGGCGGTGGTCCCGGAGGTCGCACCACATCCTGTCCTGGAGGTCGCACCGCATCATGTCCCGGCGGTGGTCCCGGAGGTCGCACCGCATCCTGTCCCGGCGGTGGTCCCGGAGGTCGCACCGCATCCTGCTTTGGTGGTGGTCCAAAAGGATGCATCGCATCCTGCTTTGGCAGTGGTCCAAAAGGATGAGTCGCATCCTGCTTTGGCGGTGGTCCTGGAGGACGCACCGCATCCTGCTTCGGCGGCGGTCCAAGAGGACGCATCGCATCCTGCTTCGGCGGCGGTCCAAGAGGACGCATCGCATCCTGCTTCGGCGGCGGTCCAAGAGGACGCATCGCATCCTGCTTCGGCGGCGGTCCAAGAGGACGCATCGCATCCTGCTTGACTCCCATCCTTTACCCTCTGCCTCCTCATTCAACCTTCAGTCAGCTCACCTGGTCCCTTCACCAAGCTCCTGACAAGCCCTGTTCCCCTGGCAACCACAATCAATTCCATTCTTCTCACCTGTTCCTGTCATCAGCTTCATCCACTTCACCTGCTCCTGACTCCTCAGCTCATCTCACACACCTGCTTCCCCTGCTATAAAAGAACCATCCTGCTATCCAGTCTCTGCCAGATTATTGAAAACATTTGCCAGTAAATTCTCCAGCCATCCACCCTGCCTGATCTCTGCCTCCGGACCTCGTTTTTTCTCCTGATCCCTGCCTTGTACTCTGCCTGCCATTATGACCTTTGCCTGTCTCCGACTCTGTCTCCAGCCTCGCCCATCTGGTAACTCCACCAAAAATAAAGACGTTTTTTATATACTTTCATTGTGTTAGGCGTCTTCATGGGTCTTCCTAGTTCAGCTCATGACATAAACCATATTTAATAAAGGTTTTATGTATTACGAGACAAGTTTGTGTCTCAACAAACTACATATGAATATGAATTATGCATAATCTTTTACCTTTTGAGGCATCTTGGCAAAAACACTGGCTATGGCATCTGTGATGTCGTTGGGCAATTTTTTAACCCAAGTCCCCAGACTCATGATGATGACTCCATGCTCTCCGGCACTCTGAACAAAGTCCTCCAAGTCTGCTGGAAGAGGCTGGGCAGGCTTGCACTGGAACCCTCCGATATAAACAGCATTTGGCATCGTTGGCCGAGGGAAGTCAAACACAAAATCTGACCTGAACAGCCAGATGTCGGCTTCCTGAAGCAGCGACACGATGTTGCATCCACCTTCAATGTATTTATCACACATGGCACCATAAATGGGCTGCAACAAGAGTGTCTCTTGAAAAAAAATGATGCCATGAAAGAACAGATTTTTGACCCTCTGAATGAAATCCATTTTGTCCGTTAAACCAGATCCTGGTACCGGGATGTAAGAGAATGGGGAGGGAGCCAACACAAAGTGGCCTTCCCCACTGGTGATCCAGCGGACATTGAGGACTACTGGCAGCTTGAGATATTTAGCTAACACAACCCCTGGTGCTATCCCTGGATCAGTGAGAACAAGATCATAGTGGGATTCTTTTAGGCTTTTGATCAATTTTGGGTTCTCAAAGACTTCCATCATAGCATCACACCAAAGTGAATGTCCATTAGCTATCATTGAAAGTAAGCTTTTGGTGAGTTTGAAGAAAGTAATCAGTGATGTCCCTTCTCTATGTGCCTGAAACATAAAAACATAAATCACATCTTACATACATAGATAATATATTATGCCACATGCATCATGAATTCCATACCTTTATTTGTTCTTCTAAGAATTCATCAAAGAAGTCCTCCACGTCTTTTTTCATTTCAACTGTAATAGACGTGTAAATAGGTGATTTTTCTGGGATGTACACACTAGAGGAAACTCTGATCACAGTGATGTTGTGTCCTCTTGCATGAAGTTCTTCTAGGAGAATTTTCATATTGATCCAATGGCTGCCATCCACTGGATACACCAGAATGTTTCCTCCATCACAGTGTGGTGAGAAGAGAATGTGACAAAAGCTAAAGAATGCAAATACCACAGACACACGGTGCAAAGGCATGGCTCCTGGAAGAACAGACAGAAACACAGTCGTTTTTTTTTTATGTTTTAGAAAATATACAGAGAAGCTTGCACAAGTATGCATTAGTTAATATTTTCATTTTATTGTTTCACTCACGTGTTTTCAGATGTGGCAACAGTTGGTCTGTACAGACTGACAGCTCAGTCAACGGAAGCCTGCAAAAAATGGCAAAAAAACAGGTGGTGAGTTCTTCTATCTGCAATTCAAATTTAAAATCCTTCTCAGCTAGCAGCAGCTAGAGCTGGTTTTAAGGGAACTGAAATAGCATTTGCCTGTTATTTCCTGTTCAACAAAGCAGCGTTTATGTAATACAAACCTTTGAACTCTTTTATTGTTGTAGGAGGGGCTTTGGTAAGGCTGGGGCTCAAATGATTAATAACTTGTTGCACGTTTAAATGCCTATTTTAAGCAATACTTATATTAAATGACTAAATATAGTTTGTGAAATGTGAGACTATTATATAGGATCCAACTCAATGATATTCCAATTACTGTTTTCATGTGAAGTCAGTTTTTCTTCTTTTATTTTTGCAAGACTTCAAAATCAAGTGGAAGCAAACAATCAAGTTTTAAAGGGAAACTATGCAGTTTTCGCTTGCGTTTAGCACCCCCTAGAGTTTGTTATTAATTCACAATTGCAAAGCCAAGAGTGAAACCTATCTCCTCGCTGTGCGTTCATCTTTTAAACACCTTAATCTAACTACTGAAATGTCTACTCAGCCTTGATTAGTGTCTAAAGAAGCGGTTCATCACTAAATCACACAAATCAGATGTGTATATGATCTAAAACATGCAGGAAACGTGCTGGGCAGACTGCAGCACCAGGAATGTTAGCTCCACATTACTAAGACTAAAGTGGAACCTAACATGTAGCAGCCTGCCAACTCTTTATTTGCAAGTCCAGTATTCTGGCCACAGGGGGTGGTGGTAGGGCTCTGAGTGACATTTCGTTAACCCTGTAAAGGGTCATTTTAGCACATACTAGCTCACGAAAATGATTTAAATATATGAATAAGTTTCATAGCAGGCCTTTGAAATTATAGTTGAATGATTGTTTATGGTTAATAACATCTGGCTTTCATTTGTCATTTCTGTAGTAAGTACTCTGCATGGTGTTCTAGTGAAATATTTATTTTAATGTCAAAAAACTTTTAACATACCCTTATTTCAGTATCTCTGCATACTTAAACCAAGCAAGACACTCTCATGCAACCCTTCTCACATTAAACAGAGGCGATTGTGAAATGGTGGTTTCTGGAAGCCCCTGCACTGCATCACTTCACCACAGTCATTCATGAGCACCAATCAAAACAAACCCTTCCACAGTACAAGTAACAGATATTTGGTTTCAATGCCAAAATGCTCGCTTGCATTTGAGAACTTGGATCAGTAAGAAACAGAAATCTGTTAGAGCTTCTTACCTGTTAAATATTTGAATAGTAAAACCACACTATGGGCCAAATAAAAGACATTAAAGGTACTGTCTGAATTTTTTTTCTGGGACATTTATTTTCCATACTGCTTGAAATGCCCTCAACATACTGGTGGCAACCAATAAATTTATTGTTTTGTCAAATTACATTACTATTTTTAATCTCGTCTGAAACATACAATTAGGTAAAAACCTATTTTGTATATTCATTCTGTGTTTCTTCTGATTGTATTCTTAGGTTCTTTTTCTAACACAGGAAAGTTTGTTTTTTTTACCTTGCTGAATGTTTCGACCACTCCTGCAGTCTTCATCAGCACTAGCCACTGCGCTAGCGGCTATATTGGGGCTATATTTAGGGTTAGACACTCCACTGAAACAGCTCTTTGTTTCTTCATAGAGCAGGTCAAGGGTCTATTAGATACAAATCCATGTGTGAGAGCAGTATTATTGGATTTAAAGAAGGCCTTTGATACTGTAAACCATGAAATTTTATTGAACAAACTCAAGTGAATGCATTCAGTGGTTTAGATCATATCTCAACAACAGAACACAATGTGTAACTGTGAACGGTGTCAGATCTGTCTCTGTTACTTGTAAGGTTGGAGTTCCACAAGGATCGATTTTGGGACCAATACTATTTTCTATTTACATAAATAACTTACCAACTGTATGCCCTGGACTTAACGCGGTTATGTACGCTGATGATGCTGTGATTTTTGTTCAGGGTAAGAACAAGAAAATTGTTGCAGAAATGCTTACAAATGCCATGTCCAAAATCCAAACCTGGCTAAGGGAACACTGTCTGTCACTGAAATCACACAAAAAAAAAACTGTGTGCATGATGTTTACAAAAAAACTAAAATCTGCTCTGGTTAAGAAAAGAAAAGCATGGTCTGGGTCTTCAGTGTTCCTGGAAGCTGAGGAATTGGAGTTGGTCACAAATTATAAATATCTTTGTGTCACCTTGGACTGCAACCTTACATTGAAAAAACAAATCGAACAAGTAATTAAACCTCTAAATTGTAATCTGTGTAATTTTAAAGAAATAAGACCTTTGATGTCAAATGAAGCAGCTAAACTGTATCTTAACAGTATGATTTTATCCCACATTGAATATTGTTCCACAACATGGCCATTTACCAGTGACTCTGCATTAAAACCAACTAAACAAATCTTTTAAAAAGCAATAAAGACGTTAGACCAAAAACCACCATCCTATCACATTTGCAAGATTTTAGTAAACCATAACGTCTTAACCTTTAATGATTTTATGACTTTTAAAAACTACTGTCCCATTTACAAATCGCTGACAGGAACGCACCGGCACAAATACTGGAATACTTTAAAAGGCAAAAAAGTACCAGAGATACCTGATCGACCTCTCGGGGGGACTGCCAGGTTAAATTTAGTACATTTGCACAGAATACTTTATCATTTAAGGGATGCAGTGAGTGGAATAAGTTGCCAGTTAATATGAGACAGCCCTTCCTTCCATACTTTCAAAAGTCAGTAAAAAACATGCTACTTCGAAATCGGCAATGCAAACATTAATCATCTGGTTTTATCGATACTTGTTCTTGTCGTTTTATCCTTGCACGTAAGGGGAATATAATGAGTTATGTTATTCACATATTTTAGCTATCCTTGTTTTTTTTTTATTCTTATGGTATTTTGTATGTTTTTTTTTACCTTGTTTTAAATTGTAATGATTGTGCTTTATGTACATGGGACTACGAATGGAAACTAGTTTTGCTAAATCTGGTATATTTACATCTTGTACGTTCATTAATATATGTTGTCCCATTGAAATAAATAAATTCAAATTTAAATATGTATAAACCTCATCCAGTCCAGTGCATCTCTCCCTTCTAAATTATTGGTTCATAACTAAGGGGCAAACTCCACTTGCCAAAGGCTGAATGAGGCTCTGTGTGTGTGTGTGTGTGTGTGTGTGTGTGCGTGCGTGCGTGCGTGCGTGCGTGCGTGCGTGTGTGTGTGTGTGTGTGTGTGTGTGTGTTTTATTGGTGGTGAGGTTTCCCCAGACAGTGGGTGGTAGGGTGCTGAGCTCTTGTGATTCTGAAGTTAAAGCTGTGGTTCACTATAAAACCATTTTCAATGGTTATTTCTGATTATGATCAGTCAGTGTTTTTCATGTAGGATGAACATGAAAATTATCTTCTTTGCATATAGATGGTGAAACTCTAGGATTTCAAAAACCTGACAGCATGACATGGACTCACCCATCTTGACTCGTGATGGAAAGGGTTAGGTTTAGAGTTTAGCATCCAGGAAACAGCAGAGAACGTATTAGTTAGGAGAAGCTAACCGTTAGCATTAGCAACTCCACAATATGGCAGAACTCCTTCAGGCTTGTGTTATTTGTGGAAATGAAACATCAACATTGCAAAGTAAATGGCATCAGTGATAAACAGCGTCAGTGATAAAGTTGCATTTCTATTAGCCAATCAAAGGTGAGATATACAAATATCAGGAAGTAAGACTCCAAATCCTGCTGTGTGAAGCTCTCCTCTAATCTGGCAATATTTTAGATCCTGATACAGGCACACCAGGGCTTTATGTACCCGGAGAACAACTTACAAGGCATTCATTCCTACTAGAGACTACTGCAAACGTATTGATGAACCACACCTTTAGGAATAAACAAAGAAAGCTAAAAATGGACCAGTTTTTCAACATAAATACACCACATGCTATATATGCTAGCTTACTGAATGTAAAATGCTAGATCAGCAGAGCTGTGTCTGTGTAGCAAGCCAGTGTTGCACCATTTTCTGCAACCATCAGATTCTGTGGCCCTAACAGGGAGTCCTAGCTTGATTGACTTTTTCCGAGAACAAATAGTCACCTTTAGGGACATTATTGACGAGCTTGAAGAAAGTGATCAATTTAGTGTATCCTATGCATCAGTTTCCTCCATCACAATGGAGTGTGAGATAAATGTGTTGCAACTACAAATTTCCCCACAAATGGCACATTCTATGACACAAATCTTAAAATGCAAGTTAGAAAAAAAACACTCAGTAGGTACATCAAAAGGCATAATAGGTATTGGCTCCTGTGTTAAATAGACAGCATGCATAAGTTGACCTATGCAGCTACAGGCTATTTATATTCACACACTGATAAATGAGGGTACAGCTTTATTATCCTGAAGTTCACTCTACTTATAATAAAGTGAGGCAACATTAGTTCAGTTTGACAGAGTGCATCACAAACGAATGAAGGCCATTTTTCTCTGTAGGTCACACATGGTACATGTTGCTGTTCTCTGATTTGCAAACAACAAAGCTGATATTTTGTATAAATATATGTTACATCACGTGTGTTTAACTAGATTTATAATGTGCTTCTTAATTTAAGTAACTAAAACAAATTTTATTCCATCTCAACGAAGATGCTAATAGATGTTTGACACTTGTCTAATGAAGTCACATTTCAACCAAGAAGGTCATCATTAACATCCTGTTCATTTTAAATTAATTACGCAGACCGTGCTTCATTTGTAGGGTGCAAAGTTTGGTGTTTTTGATTATCCGAGTCGTGATATCTGGTAAAAGACTTTGTTGAAAGTATTTTTTCCTTAACTGCAAATGACCAAGCCCTGTTTCATTTATTATCTTTATGAAAACGTGAAGAGCAGACGACATTTTTAAAACTCAGAAACTCAAACCATGACAGTTTAGATGAATAACACTTCAGAGA